GGACAGGCCCAGATGTTTAATATTTGTGTCATAGATTCCCGAAAGAGAAAAAGACTGGCCTTGAAAAAATACTGGAAGACATCGTGGTTGAAAACTCCCCAAATTTGCTGAAAGACAGGCATGGTTGCGTCCATGTGTAGAGACGAGTGTGGCGGCCCTCTGCAGTCATTTGCTCAAAGACTGGATGGCCGCGTCCATGTGTAGAAAGTGTGGCCGCCGTCCACATTCCTTGTTTGCTGAAAGACACTGATGGCCACGCCCACGTGTAGAGATGAGTGTGGCTGCCGTCTGCAGTCCTTGTTTGTGTCCAACACCTCTTGCTTCCTTTCGCGGTGTGTGTGTGGGGTAGGGGTAGCGTCAGAGCAGATCTGTGGAAAGGGAGCAGGTGAGCGGGGTCTTTACTGATGGGTGGGAGTGGTTTCAGGTATCAGAAGAGCACAGAGCCCCGGGCTGGGATTGCAGCACCACTGTGTTCACCGGTGCCAACTGCAGAGAAGCAGCTTGGACACTGCCTAAGAGCACACTCCAGGCCGGACCGTTCGGAGGTTCTACATCCAGGCACATTTCATGAGCAATAAGAATCTGCAAAGTTTTAACTTTTTGTGACAGCTTGAAACGTTTTGCGTGTGGCCTTCAACCTGTTTTTGGTAGCCAGATGTGCCGTGTAATTGTTTCACGTCGCCTGGGCAGTCATCCTGATGTTAGTGAATTCTTACATCTCGTGATTTTGGGAGCACTCCCAGTGACAGCAAGTTCTTACATCTCATGTGATTTTGGGAGCACTCCTAGTGACGGCGAGTTCTTATGTCTCACGTGATTTGGGGAGCACTCTGATGTTAACGAATTCTTACATCTCGTGGTTTGGGGAGCACTCCCGGTGACAGCAAGTTCTTATGTCTCGTGATTTGGGGAGCACTCCTGATGTTAGCGAATCCTTACATCTCATGGTTTTGGGAGCACTCCTGGTGACAGTGAGTTCTTACGTCTCACGTGATTTGAGGAGCACCCCGATGTGAGTTCTTACGTCTTGTGATTTTGGAAGTGCTGCTGGTGACAGCGAGTTCTACGTCTTGTGATTTTGGGAGGGCTCCTGATGTTAGTGAGTTCTCACGTCTATGTGATTTTGGGAGCAGTCCTGATGTGAGTGAGTTCTTACATCTCACGTGATTTGGGAGCACTCCTCATGTTAGCGAGTTCTCATGTCTATGTGATTTTGGGAGCAGTCCTGATGTTAGCGAGTTCTTACGTCTCACGTGATTTTGGGAGCACTCCTGGTGATGATGGCCCCACACCCGGCCTCTGTTCTTGAGGCATTTTATCGGGGTCATCACATTTCTTGGCTTCCACGTATATTAAATGCAGGATTTAAATATGGTTAAGATAAAATTATAATGTTAATTTTCACGGCTTTCAAGTTTCTTCAATGCTGGTTCAGGTGAACGCTTACTGACGTCATGCCTGACACTGCTTAGGCACGTTCTGGACGTGGAGATCAGAAGTACGTGCTATGTGGGGGACCGTTTTTCTTTGAAAGCAGAGACATCAAGTGAGTGGTCTGCTAGCTGTAGAAGCCTCTGCGGTTTAAACCCAAGAAGAAATCCAGATGCCTACTGGGTCTGACATTCCCACAGCACTGACCGGGCTGAGTTCTCCAAGCTGCTCCTCACATGAGGGGCGGGGAAGCCCCCGTCGGGGGAGTGGGAGTGGCATCCCCCATGGCACGGGCAGCTCTTGGGTCAGCAGCTTTGCCCCTCCTCTGTCTACACGGAGACCCTTCGTCTACCACTGAAGCAGCAGACGCCCGTCTAACACACTGACGTGCCGGAAACGGCCAGAGGTCTCGACACCTCTCATTCAGTGGCCCCTCCACAGGCTGCACTTGATCCTGGTTCCAGACCACTTGACTCCCCATTACCTGAGTCCCAAAAGGAGAAGCAGCCCCCACCCCATGTATCCCCAGGATGAAGAGAGGCCACGGCAGCCTCCAGGGAGGGCCACGGCAGCCTCCAGGGAGCACCACGGGGCAGGTACCCAGTTCGTCTCACAGGCCCACGGGGGTGTAGCCAACGGGCCCGAGAGACAGGCTTATCTGGGGTGCAGCTGCCTCATCTGCCCCAAGCACAGGGAGTGGCAGAGGGACAGATGTGAAACGAGGCTGTCAAACCAGGGCCGGGTCACGAGGAGCTTCCTGAGGCTGCTGTAATAACCACGCACCACGGCTCAAATGATCCAAATTCACAACCTCACAGCTGTGCAGGTCAGAAGTCCAACATGAGCCTCACAGGACCAAAATCCAGGTGTCCACAGGGAGAATCCCTTCCTCACGTCTTCCAGCTCCTAGAGGCCTTGGGTCCTTGGCTCCGGGGCTCCTCTGACCCTTTCTCCTGCAGGCGCTGATTGTCTTAAGGGCCCAGGACTCAGAGAATCAAGCAGGCTTTAAATATTCACAAACATAAAACCCTCTGGCCTCTCTCCCATGCACAGAACAATCCACCGCTGCAGTCTTCCGCTTTCAATACCGTTTGTTCCCGAAGAGCCACATCTGGGGGTTTACGATCACTTTTTATTTCTGAGATATAAAGGATTAGGTTTTGGGGTGGCTGAAAGCTGCTGAGTACATTCAAGACATCTGTCTCCCATTGAGAATTCAACCCCCTGTGATATCGAATGACTAAGAATCAAGCTGTCACCACTGCCTGAAACAGGACTGCGTGGGGAACAGACCCTGAGTCCTCCAAGCCCGACCAGGAAACCAGGAGGGAGATGGGATTGTCAGCGGCTTCCAGGTGGGAAGAGGTAGAGTCCCTTCCTCCTCTCCTCCTGCCCCTGGTCCTAGGCAGGTGGCTGTTCCTTACACAGAACCTTCTGGAATCTCCAATAAAGTGGTCTGGGCTTATAGGTAGTGGTTGAGAAAAATTTTTTTAGAGAAAACATTTTTGTGAAACAAAAAACAGCTAATGTTCAAAAAGACAGAAAAATGGCAGAGAAATTCAGCACACCTGAAAAAAGGTCTGATCCTCACAAGATAAACTGGTTCTAAAAGTGGGAACCTGAGTTACTGAGACGAGTCTGCGCTGAACAGAACCGTCTGCATTTTCCTGCTACTGTTGAAAATAAACAGGAGCTGTTTTCCTCCCCAAGAAACTTCCGCTGCCTTCTGGATGCAAACAGAATGGCGGCTCTCTCCAGAGGACAGCGGCACCAGGCGGGCAGGGAGGACGGACTCTGGAGGGAACACGAGGACCTGAGGGAACGGGATGGCCTGTGCCCTGACCGGTTGCGGGTGAGGACCCCACACAGGTGCCACCCACGAGGGCAACTTACGGGAGGACACGGGACGTGGTTTCCCAGGATGGTCCTTCTAAAGAATAGTATCCGAAGGACGGTGCTGCGAGATCGCCCGCCCCAACACCCCGACTGTTGTGGAACCTTCCATCGGGTGGCCTGGGACCCAAGAGGAGAAGCACGCGGGCCAAGGCCCAGGACACAGGAGCGAAGCAGGACCCGGCTGGGAAAACCCCAACTCCACCGACACGGCCTAAAGCTCTCTAGTGCTGTGGTAACGAGATGCTGTGAGAATCACCAGCCACTCTGTATGTGTGTGTAAGGCCCACGTGCAGCGGACACACAGCGCTCCAGCGTTTCTCAACCGGGGCCTGTCGGCGTGGGGCAGGGGGACTCACTCCTCCTCACAACCATGAGTGCCTCCAGACCCTGTCCCATGTCCTTGGGGTGGGCCAGGAGAGCAGGAGGGGCTGGGCGGTGTCGGTCCTGGTGAAGACGCAGGCACGAATCCTAAGCCACAACTTCGACGTGTTCTCACGCCACACATTGCGGACACACCGCTTAATGCTGTTCTGGGTCTCCTTGAATAGGAAGTTCCATAAAAACCACGAGTGCTAGTCTCGAACTAGACACGACTGCACAAGTGCAGAATTCTTGCTCTGCCTCCACCCGCACACCGCAGCTCTGCGGCCCCAGCACGAGCGCCGCCGTGGGCACCAGGGCGCGGTTGGCTCACCTCTGCCCCAGCGCGAGCGCCGCCGTGGGCACCAGGGCGCGGTTGGCTCACCTCTTTGTCCATACTCTCTAAATCTTCCTTACAAAGAGTGTACAGCGGCATTGTCTCAGACATACTGGGCTGTCGCTTTCTTCTAGAAGGGCCAGGCTGCTCTCCGTCCGGAGCGTCAGGCAGCTCTTCGCCGAACGTCTGCGGCTGGGGTGGCGGAACCGCTCTGAAAGGAATTTCATAGGCCCCACATGAGGAAGTCAGTTTGAATCGCACTTTTCAGCACCGAGTCAGACTCCTGGCTCTCGGACTAGGCAAACACTCACACCCCAACAGGGAATCACAGGAAAAACGGGATGTTTCGCCAACACGCTTTTCAGAGTTTAATAGATCAGAGGTGGCTAACTGAGCCAGGCTGAGTGGCAAAACATGTTTCTGACTATCCTGTGGAAAAGTAACACCCAACTTCTTTTATCCACAAAACCCCCGTGGGGCAGAGAGCATCTGCTGGGCTCCAGCATCTCAGAATAAAGGGCAAAGAGACACAGGAGACTAAGCATGTTCTGGGAACCCCCAGGACACGTCATTCACCCTGAAAACAGGGTCTGGAAAGCTACATGGCAAAATACAAAACAAGAAAATGCACCATCTCCGGGCTGCGAAAACAGATACAAAAAATGGTGAAGTGACAAAACATGTCAGTGGGCTGAAATTAAAATCATTTCACAGGTTTGCACGGTGGCTCATGTTTGTAAAGCCAGCACTTTGGGAGGTCAAGCGGGGTGGATCGCTTGAGGTCAGGAGTTCGAGACCAGCCTGACCAACATGGCTAAACCCCCTCTCTACTAAAAATACAAAAATTAGCCCAGTATGCTGGTGCATGCCTATAATTCCAGCTACTCAAGAGGCTGAGGCAGGAGAATCGCTCGAATCCGGGAGGCAGAGCTTGCAGTGAGCCGAGATCATGCCACTGCACTCCAGCCTGCGCAACAGAGCAAGACTCCATCTTAAAAAAAAAAAATTCACAAAAAAACCCAGAAAAAGGTAATCCTCGTGCTTGTATAGTTAAATATTAATATAATAAATCAACTAGAAAGGGCCAATCTTCTGTTTCAAGGATTTTTCTGCTATGTTAAAACCGCAGCTCCATTTGAAATGGTTTTTCTCCTCTGTACATATCTTTCTTGATCTGGATGTGTGAATCTTATTAATATATTCTAATGCATGCCTCTGAATGCTAGAATTTAAGGCAGGCCTCTGGGAAAATGGGTGGTGCTGCCCTCCTCAGAGGCGGCCGTTTCTAGCTGCTGGTTCTTCCCTGAGTGACCAAAGGACGAGATCAGGAGGCACTGAGTGTGCGTCCCAGACATCAGCTCGCTCGGGACAGGCACGAGGATGAGGGGATAAAACCCATCCTGGTGAAGGAATACAGGCATTAAGTCAAAGTCACAAAACTAAAAAGACATAGCTGTATTAGGCTATTTACAATGAAGAGAAGATTTTCTGCCCAGAAATCTGAAGGTGCTGATCTGTGCTGTTTGGAATTCAGGACTTCCTGAGCCTTGGCAAAGTCCACTCTTCACCTTGGCCCTCTGTGAACACACGCTACCCATCCCGCGAGCGCCGCGCTTCCCATCCCATGAACACGCGCTTCCCATCTGCATTTGGCTGAAACACCCATGTACGTATAACCAGACACACGCAGTTCAAAGCAGTGTTGTTCAAAGGACCAACTGTACTGTTATTTTAAACTGAATTAAATGTTTCAATTAATGTTAAAAACCTGTGATAACTGCTCTACTCCAGCCAAACACCCCACCTCTGAGGTCTCAGAGAAGGCCATGGGGGAGCCTGTGGGGAGCCCGACATCCAACCCCACTGGCAGCAGCGAGGCCCCTCCCACCCATGTGGGGCGTCAGGACTGTCATCAGCCCCCACTGAAGGTGCAGACACTCCTCCCACCCATGTGGGGGCGTCGGGATTGTCACCAGCCCCCATTGAAGGTGCAGACACTCCTCCCACCCATGTGGGGGCGTCGGGATTGTCACCAGCCCCCACTGAAGACGCAGACACTCCTCCCACCCACGCGGGGGTGTCAGGATTGTCACCAGCCCCCACTGAAGATGCAGACACTCCTCCCACCCATGTGGGGGCATCGGGATTGTCACCAGCCCCCACTGAAGATGCAGACCCTCCTCCCATGGTGCCAGCGATGACGTGGGGAGCCAGGACTGCCACAGCAACAGCGTCACCCCCATCGCCACAGCTGTCCACCAGCAACAGCGTCACCCCCATCCCCACATGTGTCCACCAGCAACGGCGTCACCCTCATCCCCCACTCTCAGGCATCAAAAAGAGGCCGTGTGGGGAAATGGACTCCTGTCCCGACTGGCAGGAACTAGGGGGCCTCCACTCCTGCTGCTGGAGCATGGCCCAAAAAAAAATGAGCGATGGGAGAAGGTTTAAATAAGATCCAGAGTCTCCTAACATGATTTGAAAAAGGTCCAGGTTTCAATCCAATGTCACTTGCCCCAGCAAGAACCAGGAAGATCTCAAACTATGGAGAAAAGGACAATCAACAGAGGCCAAGCTGAGAGGGCAGAGATGCTAAAATTCATAATGACTTATAGCATCCATGATAAAAATGCTTCAACAGGCAATTGCAAATATGCTTGCAAATACGCAAATGAAAAACACAAAGGGTTGGTAAAGAAATAGAAGATACAGAAATTTTATAACTGAAAAATAAAAACTAAAACCAAAAAATGTCATGGACAGACTAGCAGCAAATGAAGGAGACAGAGGAAGGCTGTGAACCTAAAAATCTAACAGAAATCACCCAACCCGGACAACAGAGAAAATGAGCTGAACAGGAAAAAGAACACAGCTTAGGGACGCACGAGATACGAAAAGCCTCAGCATCCGTGTCCCTGCCGTCCCATGCATGGCAGAGATGGCCTTGAAAAGCAATGGCTGGAAATGTCCCAAAGACGTCAAAAGACATAAACCTTCCAACTCAAAAAGCAGAGTCAAACCTAAACAAGGTAAACCCTCCAAATCTACACCAAGACACCTCATCATCAAACCTCAACTAAAGATGGAGAAAAACCTCGATGGCAATGGAAGAGAAAACACAGCTTACCTACAGGAAAAGCGGCCAAAGACAGAAGATCAGTCATCTGAACGACGGAGCCCAGAAGGAAGCCAGATGTTTCTCAGGCCCTGAGAAAAAGGAAGATCAACCCAGAGTCTTATCCCGTGAAAACGTCCCCCAGCAAGGGAGAGACTGCAGAGGGCCCAGGCCTGCCCCGAGAGCATGATGGACACCGCAGGGCAGGTTGGGAGGGAAGGGACCCCCTCAGGGAACTCCCGCAAGGACGGAAGCAGGAATCCAGGCAAGCACCGGAGACTCCGCTCTGGTTCTCTAGACCACACCTGACTGTCGAAACAAGTCATAAAAAATAATCCCAAAGCAAGCAGAAGGAAGGTAAGAAATAAGGAGGCTGAAAACCAAAAAAAAAAAAAAAAAAAAAAAAAAAAAATAGAGGTAAGTGGAGCAATTCCTTCAAAAAAAGAAGCAACCACAACTCACCCGAACACAACAGGTCCTGTGAAAAGCCCTGTAACTATTAAGGAAAATGAACATGAAATTTTAAATCTGCAAAAATAAAATCTCCAGGACCAGACGGTCTCACTGGAGAATTCTCCCAAATAAGTGAAAGGAAGGGGCAAGTCTACAGTCTGAGCAGGGATGCTAGAGGGTGGACGCTTCCCACCTCACCACGGGAGGCCACCGAGCCACAACAAACCCGGGGACAGACGGCACACAATGTGACAAGTGCAGCCCCACAGGCCTCTCAACATCAACATGAAGACACTTCACAGAAGTGCATCACGGTTACTATACACCACAACCAAGGGGATTGGTTTCTGGGTTGCAAGGTTGTTTTCATGTCCAAAAATCAGTCAATGTGACCACCGCATACTGACAGGCAAAAGAAGAAAAACCACAGACACCAGAATATCAATCAACAAACACCGAAAAAATGCAACACCCACTGGTGTTAACAACTCACAGAAAACAGGAAATCCAACTTGATCAAGGGCATCTCCGGGCAGAAAACCCAGGAACAGACCACACAGGTGCACCTGAGCACACCTGAGACGCTGGGGCAGAAGCAGCCGTGGCGGAAGACAGCGCCCGCGGCAATGTGGCTGGGGCCAGAACACCAACCTCGAGAGCATCGTGGGCTGAGGTGTGAGATGAAAGACAACAGATCTTTCAGGATAAAACATCAAGAAAATCTCCGGGATCTGGGACTAGGCTACTAGTTAACTTCACATCAAGAGCATGATTCCTGAAAGAAAGAAGCGATCAATAGAATCTTGTGAAAATTAAAAACTTTTGCTCTGCCGAAGACCCTCTAGAGGATGATCTGCCTGACTGGAATTCAGGACTTCCTGAGCCTTGTCAAAGTCCACTCTTCGCCTCGGCCCTCCGTGAACACACGCTTCCCATCCAGCGAACATGCGCTTCCCATCTGCATTTGGCTGAAACACCCATTTACGTATGACTGGACACACACAGTTCAAAGCAGTGTTGTTCAAAGGGCCAACTGCACTGGTATTTTAAACTGAATTAAATGTTTCAATTAAATGTTAAAAACCTGTGATAACTGCTCTACTCCAGCCAAACACCCCACCTCTGAGGTCTCAGAGAAGTCAAGTTGCTGCCTGGGAGGAAAGGATTTGTAAGCCGCACAGCCAACCAAGGACTAGCAGATGGAACACACACAGGAGGTGATGTTCAGTGGCATTATTCACCACAGAAATGCAAGTCACAGCCACAGCCAGCTCAGGACACACCTATCAGAACAGCTGCAATAAACAGCACTGGCCACACCACCTGGGTCACTCACCACCACTGAAAATGTGAGATGATGATGCAGGTATTCCAGAAAAGGGTCTGGCAGTTTCTTTAAAAAGCTAAACACACACTCACCATCCAATTTAGCAACTGTACCTACCACTGGACATTTATCCCAAAGAAATAAAAACTTAGATAGGCTAATTATCCCACATCCAACACGCCTGAGACCGAAAGTGTTGTCTACTTTGGATTTTTGAATTTTGAAATATCTGTGTTACACTTACGGGCTGAGCATCTGCAACTGGTGACCCCAAATCCGAATGCTCAGATGAGCATCTCCTTCCAGGGCCACGTCACTGCTCAGAAAGGTGCGGATCTTGGAGCATTTCTGATTTTGGATTTTTGGATGAGATGCTCAACCTGTGCAAACATTTAGAGCAAAGGCTGGAGACAACCCAAATATCCCTGAAATGGGGAATGGTGAAGCCACAGACGGCCCCTCCACACACCACGAGACACGGCTCAGCGAGAGGAGGACATGAACGAGGGGCGCAGAGGCTCCAGGAACCGGCCGAGGGAGAAGGGTCAACTCCAGAAGGCTGCCGACCACCATCCACAGCACCCCGCAGAGGGCACGGTGCAGGGAGGGACAGCAGGTGGAGGGCCAAGGGTCAGGGAGGGGAAGTGGCTGAGGCCGTGAGGGCTGCAGGGGAGCTGGTGAGGGTTCTGTCTTTCTGTCTGGATGAGCCCCTGTGGGTCCCAGTGATGAGCTTGTTCTCCACTTTCACAAGAGGCAACCACAGGGGAAACGGGATAAAGGGTCCAAAGGGCCTCTCTGCATTATCACTGCGTGTCAAACTACAAATATCTCAAAAAGTTTAACCAAAAAACTGAACGTTCCCACTCCCCCGCAGGTCCACAGTGAGCCAGGCTGCCAGTCCAGCACCAAAAAGCTCAAAGCCAGAATTAGAAAAAATGTACAACATTCAAAGCCTTAGATGAGGACCAGTCCAGGGATGAAGGGCCAACCGCCCTCACCGCCGAGCGTCCTGTCACAATGGGGTCTACACAGGGTTCCGGGAACAGAACGAGGAACCACCACTCAGGATGGTGGGCGACGGGGCCACCTCCACAGCAGCACAACCAATGCACACAACAGATGAGGCCTGGGGCCGCGCAGGTGCGGGCCTCACTGTAAGATGGGGTGCCACGGGGAAACTGGGCAACCAATGCACGCAAGAGGTGAGGCCTGGGGCTGCTCAGGCGTGGAACCCACCTTGAGACGGGGTGCCACGGCGGAACCACAGCAGCGCTGTTACAAGGGTGTGAGGGTGGCTGCAGGAGACCACGCTGGACTCGTCTGTACAGGCGGAGTGGTCCTGCAGGCACCAGGGGTCCACACGTGGAGGGGCACTGCGGACACAGGTCTATGTAGTGCAGGGGACTGGGCAGGCGCCACACGAACTCAAACAAGCAGGGGGGACTCTTGGATTAAACCAGAAGAAACCACTCTGCCTGTTCCTCCAAGGAGGAGGCCTACAGAGAAAAGGTAGGGTGTGACCAGAGGCGTGGCCGAGCCACAGAGGCCCAGGTCCTCACTGCAGCAGGAAAGCCCCACAGAACGCCTGCCGGCCGGTCCCGTTCCCTCAGACTGTCAGCACCATGTCCAGCCTGGGGAAGGAGACCTTCAAACAGGCATTCCTTTTTTCTGATATAAATAGGTAGTTCCATCAATTTTGAAAACTATCAAAAAGCAGAACCCAGGCTCATTTTAGGAGAACTCAGTTTCCAACACGTCCAAGTGAAGGGGGAGACATTTCCTTAATGTGGCAAAGGTGTGCCCGCCTACAATCACCCAGGCCAGGCGGCCCGCTGCCGCGGCCACAACAATGCTGCTTCCCGCCACCAAACTCATGATTATCACAACCTAACAAATCACATTAACATCCACTCATATAAATGAGCTGGCATTAACTGAAGTAATATTGGTATTTTGGTGCAAATTACACTTTCAGATTAAAAACAGCAAAAGTCAACTTATTCCAATGAACTGCAGCCCAGCGTGCGTCTTCCTTACAAAAGACAGGCAGAGCTGAACGGTGGTTTATGACGTGCCATTCGAAACGTTCTGAACTGCTACTGTTGACGTAAACTATACACATTTCAGAAAACATACACAGTTATCGGTTGCCATATTATTAGTGTCACTCAAGTAAAAGTGTTTGACTTTATTCAAATCCAGCTTACTATCTGCAAGTATGTTTTCAGGTAACAATTATTTTTTTCTCATTGATCTTAGAAATTCCTAGCTCACTTCAAGCAAGGCTGAATGATTAAAAAACCAGTTTTGTATCTAATCTTTAACCACTTTGCATAGTCTTTTTTTTTTTTTTTTGAGACGGAGTCTCGCTCTGTCACCCAGGCTGGAGTGCAGTGGCCGGATCTCAGCTCACTGCAAGCTCCGCCTCCCGAGTTCACGCCATTCTCCTGCCTCAGCCTCCCGAGTAGCTGGGACTACAGGCGCCCGCCACCTCGCCCGGCTAGTTTTTTGTATTTTTTAGTAGAGACGGGGTTTCACCGTGTTAGCCAGAATGGTCTCGATCTCCTGACCTCGTGATCCGCCCGTCTCGGCCTCCCAAAGTGCTGGGATTACAGGCTTGAGCCACCGCGCCCGGCCACTTTGCATAGTTTTAAGACAATGAGGACAGGAGCTTGAGACCAACCTGGGCAACATGGTGAAACCCTGTCTCCACTACAAATACACAAATTAGCCAGGCGTGGTGGCGGGTGCCTGTAATTCCAGCTGCTGGAGAGGCCGAGGCATGAGAATTGCTCGAACCTGAGAGGCGGAGGTTGCCGTGAGCCAAGATTGCACCACTGCACTCCAGCCTGGGCAACAGACCAAGACTCCATCTCAAAAAAATAAATAAATAAAAATACTGAAGAAAAAATAAGTCAAAGGTTTGTGATTTTACTTTTAATTACAAAAAAAAATTTTTTCTGAGACAGGCTCTCACTCTGCGGCCCAGGACGGAGCGCAGGGCGCGGTCACAGCTCACTGCAGCCTTGAACTCCTGAGCTCAAGCGATCCTTGTGGGTCCACCTCCCAAAGCACTGGGACTACAGTGCCAGCCCTTGAACATTTCAGTCAACAGAATGAAAAGCAGCGTCTAAAGAACAGGTGCTCTTCACGGTACTGATCGTGTGGCTGCTTTAAACTATGTGAGCGTTTTGCAAAACTGCAATTTCAAAGCTAAATCTCAGCAGTGTCACTTCAACACACGTATCTGTCCTGCCATCGTGCTGCTACTGATTAGAATTACAGCACACAACAGACCCTGACTTCCTAGCTACGGGGTCTCTGCATCATTCGGCTCTAGGTGGTGCTGGCCTGTTCACTGACCGGCCCACAGCAACCCCACAGGCCAGGCTCCACCATGCTGTTCTCAGAAGAGTGCAGGAGCTTTGTCAACTGGCTGGAGAGTTGGAATTAACTGAGTTAAATGAAGGAATGAGAGTAGCATCAAAGGACGAAGCCGTGATTTACGGAGAGACCTGTTCCCAGTCTCTGGAATCACCGCTGCGGTGAGGGGCTGTGGGCTGGGCCTGAGCAGCTTCAGGGCAGGGCTGGTCACCAGAAGGCTTTGCAGGAGCAAGTGGGTAGTGGGTGGGATCAGCCATGCCTTCGCCACAGACGGAAGGACGCAGAGCTTCCGGGGGGACACGCACCGTGCTCACGGCCCTTCTGGACCCTGCCCCTTGCACCCCCTCATTTGGCTGTTCTTGAGCCTTTAAAATACACTGGTACTGCTGAGTGAAATGTTTTCCAAAGTTTTGTGAGCTGATTCAGCAGATGATCAAAACTGTACAAGTCTGTGTCTGCGGACCCCCAACCCTGTGGCCAAGCCGGACGGTGAGGGGCTTGGGAGTCCGAGACGAGGGCAACCCTCAGACGAGGGACTGAGCCCGCAGACTCAAGGCCTGATGCCAACTGTGGGTCGTCAGCATCAGAAACAAACTGAACTGCAGGCGCCTGTCGGCCCCGAAGAGCTAGAGCAGCAGTGTTGGAAAGACACCTCGTGTTAAAAGCCCAACCAGTCCGGACAGGAAGCCTTTCTAACGACCAGAAACAACGTCACCATCAGGACGCCTTCTTAATGACAGGCGACGACATCGTCACCAGGACACGACGGGAGGTGACATCACCACCCAGTGCCTTCCTAACGACGGGAGGTGACACTGTCACCAGAATGTCTTCCTATCCTTCGGGATGACATCATCACTGTGTGGCTGGGGATCCTCTTCCCTGACATCAGAACGGAGAACCTCGGATTCATCCCAAACCCCCCATCCCCCAGGCCCCAGCGCGTTGCCAGGCTGCCGCACGGGAAGCCACCCTGCACCTGCCCACCTCCCAGTCGCCCGACCCGACTCCTCCTCTTAGCAACACTCCCCACTGTGACCTCAAGGGCTGTGAAATCAGCCGAAAGGGGCACACGCTACTCTCTAGAATCACAAAAGACAAAACACAATCTAAAAACAGAAAACCTGGGAGGAACCAGAGCGTGTTTCCAGAGGGAGTGGCCTCTCCCGAAAGCTGACTGGGCTTTGTCGTGGTGCCTGGCGGGGCCTCCTCACTCACCTGCCCACCCAGGCTCGGGAGCTGCCGCCCACTGTGCAAAGGCCACGCTCTGGCCACCCCTGCTCCTGACCTGGGAGGGCCATGCACTCTGGGCCTCAGCATTCCCACGCACGGACAGTGCTGGATCCTGCAAGGGCTCGAAAAGGACACCAAGTCGTACCTCTTCATCTCCCCATTAACCATGAGCACCCGTTTCCCTCCAGCAGCCTGCGTTCTGCACCCGTCGCAGGATTTGAGGCGTTGTGACCTGTCAGAGGGCTTCCAGGGGTGAACACACACCAGGTCTTGGTGGGTGCTCCTCGCCCGGGTCAAGTTTAATCTAGTTAAACTTTTGGTTGAATTTCAAAGCAACAACCACAGAACAAAGACTCATTTAAATCTCCAAGAATGTCCCATGGGGTCTGCAGGGGCCACAACCTCAGGCTGAGGGCTGATCTCCGGTCCACACCGGTAAACAGGCACAGAGGCCACGTGTGCAGGAAGCATCCCCCGGGGCCTGCAATTTCCCCTCTCCAGGGCAGCACAGATCCCGGTTACCAACGCCTTCCAGTCCAGTCAAGTTTCCCTTCCTCACGGTGCTGTTTGCCAACCACCACTGCCACCACCCCTGCGCCTGCTCTGTGTGGAAACAAAGACGGCAGCCCAGGGTCTGGCAGAGCAACAAACGTGGAGCCGGCAGAGAGCAACCGGCAAGGCGACGGGGGCGGGGGCTCGAAACCAGCCCTGCTCTGCCCATTCTCTGCTGAGTGTTCCCAGGACCGAGTGCTCTGCGGGGCGGCCACAGGTGTGCACATGCACGTGCCTGGACAACATCTGAGAAGCTGGTTGCAGGGTTTTGTTTCAGTTTTGGGAACCAAGAGAGGACAGAAGAACAAAAGGACCCGAGAGAGCCAGTGGGGGCGGCGTTCCCACAAGGTGGAAGCGGGAGTCACCGTCTGCAGCCTCCACCCGCCCTCACGTTGGGCAACTGGCGCCATCCCCCTAACGGACCCGAGCAGCAAGCTTGAAGAGCCCTCACTAGCTGGGGGCAGTGGCTGCGCCGCCATGTACCTGAAGGAAGAGGGCTCCTGGTGGAGGGGTAAGGAGCTGGGGGGCGCTGGGGGCCCCCGGGCGCCCGTCCTGATGAGCTTCCCCGTGTTGGAGTCGTAGATTCGAACCTCGGGGCCAGGCTGGGCCTTGGGAAGAACGGGCATCGGGTGGAACAAGGTGGTGGGGGGCACACCCTCCCGGTCGGGAAAGGCTGCAGGACTGTTCTCCCTGTCGGAGGAAGAGAACAAGGACCATGAGCGGGGCGTCCAGGCGACGCAGAGCAGGCACCCAGGGACACCTGGCGGGCATTGCCTAGGTGTGTGAACCAACAGCTGTCTGGTGAGGGAACGCCTGGCAGGGATGTGCTGGGTGCGGCGAGGACCCACCTCTGTGCCTTGGTGTGGTCGTCCCTGAGCGGGAAGAGCTGCTCCTCCACCTTGTCCCAGCGCTCCAGGCAACTCCACAGCCAGTCAGGGTTGACCACGTGCAGGTGTCCGCACTCCTGCGCCTGCAGCACCTTCTCTGTGCCTGCGGGAGACCCGGCTGCGTCAGGCTGTCTTGGCCAGCACTGGAGGGCCCACATCTGGCTGCACCCACCAGGGCCCTCACCTAACTGCACCCCACCAGGGCCCAGGGCCCTCACCTAACTGCACCCCACCAGGGCCCAGGGCCCTCACCCGGCTGCAATCACCAGGACTCGGGGCCTTCACCCGGCTGCACCCCACCAGGGCCCTCACCCGACTGCATCCAACCAGGGCTCAGGGCCCTCACCCGGCTGCACCCCACCAGGGCCCTCACCCGACTGCACCCCACCAGGGCCCTCACCCGACTGTAATCACCAGGGCTCAGGGCCCTCACCCGGCTGCACCCCACCAGGGCCCTCACCCGACTGCACCCCACCAGGGCCCTCACCCGACTGCACCCCACCAGGGCCCTCACCCGGCTGCACCCCACCAGGGCCCTCACCCGACTGCACCCCACCAGGGCCCTCACCCGGCTGCATCCAACCAGGGCCCTCACCCAAGTGCACCCCACCAGGGCCATCACCCGACTGCATCCAACCAGGGCTCAGGGCCCTCACCCGGCTGCCCCCCACCAGGGCCCTCACCCGACTGCACCCCACCAGGGCCTCACCCGACTGCACCCCACCAGGGCCCTCACCCGGCTGCACCCCACCAGGGCCCTCACCCGACTGCACCCCACCAGGGCCCTCACCCGGCTGCATCCAACCAGGGCCCTCACCCAAGTGCACCCCACCAGGGCCATCACCCGACTGCATCCAACCAGGGCTCAGGGCCCTCACCCGGCTGTAATCACCAGGACTCGGGGCCCTCACCCGACTGCACCCCACCAGGGCCCTCACCTGACTGCACCCCACCAGGGCCCTCACCCAAGTGCACCCCACCAGGGCCCTCACCCGATTGCGCCCCACCAGGGCTCAGGGCCCTCACCCGACTGCACCTCACCAGGGCTCAGGGCCCTCACCCGACTGCACCCCACCAGGGCTGGGGGCCCTCACCCAGCTGTAATCACCAGGGCTCACGGCCCTCACCTGGCTGCACCCCACCAGGGCTCAGGGCCCTCACCCGGCTGCACCCCACCAGGGCTCAGGGCCCTCACCCGGCTGCACCCCACCAGGGCTCAGGGCCCTCACCCGACTGCATCCAACCAGGGCTCAGGGCCCTCACCCGGCTGCACCCCACCAGGGCTCAGGGCCCTCACCTGGCTACACCCCACCAGGGCTCAGGGCCCTCACTCGGCTGCACCCCACCAGGGCTGCCCACTGCAGGTTCCCATCTCCCAAGCCAGGGATAAGCAGCCATGGTGGGAAGTGGTGGATCTCAAGACGAGGAGCTGGGCACAGCAGGTGACGTGAGCATGTGTTCAGGAAGGCCCCTCAACAGTGAGGCCACAAACACCGAAGCAAAAAGAAACGTGAGCACAATTCGGGGGGAAGGAAGGAAAGCGAAAGAAGGGTCAAGAGCTGGGCAGACACAGGGCAGGGCAAATGGGCACCTGAGGGGCCAAGGAGGACCCCAGTCTGGCCCACCTCCATGCTCAGGAGAAAAGGGCCAGGAACTGGGCACTCACAGGACAGGGCAGATGGGCACCCGAGGGGCTCAGGAGGACCCCGGTCTGGCCTGGCTCCATGCACAGGAGAGAAGGGTCAGGAGCTGGGCAGACATGAGGCAGGGCAGACGGGCACCTGAGGAGCACCTGAGGAGCAAGGAGGACCGTGGCCTGGCCCGGCTCCACGCTCAGGAGAGAAGGGCCTGACTGCCCGTGGGAGGCCAGGGCTTGGCTTTCTCCTGGGATCAAGGGTTTCACTGGGCTCCACGGAAAGCCTGCCCCTGCCCTGCAGCCAGCACCTGCCTATTTCACACGGAGATGGAACCTTCCATGTACCCTTGATTCAAACGCTTTACTGAGCACATGCATGTCCAACACCACATGACACGGACTAGAGGCGCGGCCTCAAATAAGACCACACTTGCCGTCAGGGAGCATGCGTGGACAGGGATGAGCTCACCCCACAAGGCTATCCTGAGCCCTGGAGGCGGGGCCACGCACTGAGAAGCCCTCTCAGGAAACGCCGCCAGGACAGGAAGCGCAATTGGAGGAGCAGAACCTGAAGTGATTTAGGCAATCTTCATTCGGGGAAAATCCAGGTGCTTATGGGAGCATTTTCACAGAATAACTAGAATACTGAGATATTTGGGTTTTTTAAGCACCGGGGTGCAAGTCTTCCTTCAAGATTCACCTATCGCTGAAAGGTTCTGTTTTATTCGGCAGACCTGTCAACGTGTCAGAGCAGCCTGCCCTATCTGGGACAGGTTTCACCATCAGGAGACAGCAGGCCTGTCCTCCGCTCTCCCAGCCACAACGTGTCCTTCTACGCACGTTTCAGCCGAAACTTTGCACTTAGTTTTCTAACTCAGAGGGTTTGTCAACCTTTTACCTGCGAACTGAGGGCCCCACATCCTGTTCCTGCCTGGAGTTTCTCCACTACACCCCATCGCTGATTCCTTGTTCTCTAATCCAGCCACGGCTCACTCACCCCGTCGCTGATTCCCTGCTCTCCAATCCAGCCACGGCTCACTCCAGGGAGAAGGGCTGAACTTTCTACACCGCACGTGAGTAACTCACACCACCCAACACTGTGCGTGATGACTGGGGTCCGAAAGCATGAACGTGCCCGAACTCGAATATCACCCAACGTCACGATCTATTCTTAAAAGATGGTGATTCTGGGAAACGTTTCTAAAAGTTGAATGTGAGATGAACAGCAATGCCAGCTCTAAGGAGTGCCTGCAAGGAGACGGCGGGCCTGACTATGCCCGGGGCACAGGGAGGCAGCACTCACCAGCCCGCGCGGCGATCAGGTGCGTGGCCCTGTCAGGGGCGTCGGGGCTCAGCACCAGCCGAGTGAGGATCTTCGCTCCTAGCGCCGTGGCGTGGTAATGCTCCCGCGTCTTCTCTATCGGGAAGTTTGTCGGGTGCAGCCCACTGAAAATTATGGCCACATCAGCCAGCACCTTGCTCTTCAGTTCCGGCACAATCTTGCGGATATCCGGCGCCTCCTCGATCTCCTTGTTGAGGAAGCGGTCGTACTTGGCGTAGTAGTCGGTGTGCACACGGACCAGGATCTCCTCCAGGTAGATGAGGTGGTCATCCTCGTCCGTGTCCTCCTCCTCCTCCTCCACACTCTGGTCCAGGGACTCGCCCGCGGTGACGCCCGACAGCTCGCTGTTCTGTGACTCGGTCTCCGCCTCCTTCCTGTCGGCACAGCCATTGCCCAGGCCGCAGAGGCCGTCCCGCTCGCCCTCCTCCTGCCCACCCAGCTCGGGCCCCTTGTCTGGGGCATGCGTGCTGGGCTCGGCCTCTCCGGGGAGACTCAGTGCTGCAGGCCGCCCCGGCTCCAGGGAACTGCCCTGAGCCAGTGCCCCGGCTCCCTCTGGAGCCGGGTTCTCCTCCTCCTTCAGCTTCTGCCGGCTTGTCCCCTCACTTTCGCCGTCAGAGGCGGAGGAAGGAGACTTCGTGCCCTCGGACTCACTGCTGCTCTCGCTGTCGCTGGATAAGTCGAAGTCCAGGTCAGTGCCTGTGGCATCCTGGGCAGGCCGCTGTCCCGGTGCCGCCCGGCCACCCTGCACACAGGATCCTTGGGGCTCAGGAGTGCCTGCCAGCTCTCCGCTGCTGGTGGGGGCCTGGGTAGCGGGCCAGGTGTCCCTCTCGTCCGGTTTCCCGGGGCGGGGCGAGTCCTGTGGGGCGGCAGCCTCACTGCCGTTCAGCTCCTGAGCTGGCTTCTCCAGGCCATTGCTGGGCTCCACTCCAGGGGCCTGCGTTGCTCCCTCGGGCTCTCTCACGGGCGGAGCTTGCTCTGCGATCTCGGTGCCTCGAGAAGAATGATTTACTAAATATGCATGCAAAAGGAAAAGTTACCGTGATTCAGCATTAAACGTTAAATAACATTCCAAGTTAAAGCAGCACCCTTCTTCATGGCTGTGAACTCTGCCACCCTCTAGACCAGGCCTTGGCAACCTTGCTGTGAAGAGCCTGACGGGGTGAGCACCCCTTACCCGAAGTGCATGGGGCCACAGATGTTTTGGACACTGAATGTTTTTCTGAGTTTGGAGTACTTGCGTTAAACTTACCACTTGAACATCCCAAATCTGAAAAATCCAAAATGCTCCAATGAGTATTTCCTTTAAGCACCATGTGGGCAACTCAAAAAGCTCTGGATCTGGGGGAGGAAGGATCCTCCGTCTATAAGAACAACTGGAGGTCTCCAGGCTGCAGACCTGGCGCCACCGTGGCCACAGTTTCCCAAGCCCCGGTCTGGAGGAAGTCAGCAACTCCACGCTGACCCCAGGCATCTGGTGAAAGCCTCTGCCTCCTACAGGAATGACCCCAGTCCCACCCTCTTCTGGTTTCAACCTCCAAGTTCCATTTTAGTGACTAGAGCAGCAAATGTATGCCTCGAAATATTTTTTTTAAAACTAAGGGTCAAAAACACTTAACTTTTCACAGGGTGGACGTCAGCCGCAGGCCTGCCTGACAGGTTAAACCACGCTGCTCTCTGGGCACCAGCCAGCGCCGGGCCTGAACACTGCACTCTGGGGACGGTTCTTCCCTGCACAGCCACTGCCCCCACATTCGCTCTCTCTACAGAATGCCATGGCCCGAGGCCCAGGCGTGCATTTAAGGAAAACTGGGATGAAAGGAGTTATTCACATGTTAGGTTAAACAGTATCCTTTAGTTTTTATTCAACTGGGAAAACGCTTAAGTGAGGGCCATTTTTTTAAAGCCCAAATCAAAACGACATAATATCCTGTTTTCCAGTACTATATAAATAAATCCAATAACCTCTATTGAAATACAAATAAAAAATCAAAGTGTATCTTGAATTTAGAGCAGACAAAATAGAGATAAGAAATAAGAAGAGCTAAACAATAAGCAAATGTAAATTCTAGAGAATCAGGAAGGAGGTTACCCACCTTTCTTTCTCATCTGAGAGTCTCGGGACCCAGGGGGCGCATTCATGTCACCTGTGCCCTGGAAGTACACGTATTTCTTCACAGTTATCAGATTGGGGGCAAACTTCCAGACATCTTCTCGATCATCAATAATGCAAACCATTGAGTCTCCACAAGGAAAGAGGTTTCTACAAGTGAAAATGCATAATTCACACAAAATAATAATGAAAAGAGTTTAAGATTCTAACCCACATGTAACCAACAGACAGCAGGTTCTTCAGAAACTGACACCAACCGCCCCGAAGCCCTTTCTGTTTGGGTCACATTTAAACCTCAGTAACATCTTCTCCACTGCTTCTGATTCTCCTTCAAGCCGGAGTTCGCAAACTGTTTCTTAAAGCGCCAGAGTCACTACTTCAGGCATGAAGGGCCACAAGGATGAAACCTAACTCTGACCGCGTGGGCGTGGCCATGTTCCAATAAAACTTCATGTACAAACCAGGCTGCGTAGCCTAAAGGCCAGAATTTGCTGACTCTGAAAACAGCCCGGGATGGGCTGTGTGGCTCAGGCCTGGAATTCCAGCGCTTTGGGAGGGCCGCTTGAGCCTCGGAGCCTGAGACCAGCCTGAGCAACACGGTAAGACCCCGTCTCTACAAAAAATACAGAAGTTAGCCGGGTGTGGTGGTGTGCACCTGTAGTCCCAGCTACTCAGAAGGCTGAAGTGGGACGATAGCTTGAGCCCAGGAAGTCAGTGGGGCGCTGGGACCACACTACTCCACTTAGGTCTGGGCAACAGAGTTAGACCGTCTCAAAAACAAAAAAACAAAAACCAGACCTACTGCCGATGCAGAATTTCTAAGTGGACCTACAGCTACCTCCATGCAAACCACAGTGCCCGCCACTAGGGCCTATCCTGGGCGTGTCCCCATTCGATCCTATCATTCTGCCTTCAGGTGGCTTTTCCCCTTAACACGTCACTAAGAGCACCTCTCATTCTCTTTAGCCCTGATTAATCTGCTCACTCTGGCGCTAACTAGCAAAAAGGAGGTTTCTGAAGTAAATACTTTCAGAGTCTCTTCTTAGTTAACATCAGCTTGCATAGGCCTCACAGTCTGCGTGGACTCCCTAAACGTAAAAACCGAAGCACTGGGAGGCGGCGGCCACCGTGAGCCAGGAAGCGGTGACCGCCAGGGCTCCTCGGGGAACAAGCCACACCTGATGCGTTGCACCAGCAGGGACGGACTTCCGGGTGGAAATGGGGAAACTCCTCATACAGAGTGGGCAAGAAATGCCAAAGAATACAAAAGGATATAAAAAAGTCTCTAGGTAGGGGCAGGGAGGGGCCACCCTGTCAAAAAGGCTCAGAGGAGCTGACAGGAGGCGGCTCTGGAGCTCATGGAAAGGAAGAAATGGCAAAAAGCAAAAAGACGGGCAAAAGTCATGTGACTTAGGATTTTATAAATTATCAGTAGGATTAACACAGGCAAGCTCCTAAGAAAAGTATAAACCTCAGATGCTGATGCTGACGTCAAGAACTGCCCCTAAACCGGGAGCCCCACAGAGCTGCTGAACTTGTGCGTGGGGTGGGGTTATCCACATTCCTCTGCCCACTCGGGTCCTTTCAGCTGCCACCTCCCTGATGCCATCCCGTCCCTACGCCTGCCCTCCTGGGTTCTGGGCCCAAAAGTCCAGTCCCCGAGTTCCCCAGGAGCCCTGGTCATTCCCTGGATACTCAGAGGCAAAAGCTGGCCTCCTGTGGGGACACACCCATGCCTTCTGCCTCCCAACCACAAGTCTTGACGCACCCCTGCCTCCTGCCTCTCCAACCACAAGTCTTCGCACAGGAATGAAAACCTGGAGCTAAAGGGACTAGAATGATCACATATGCCAGGGTTGTTAAGCAAACAGATGCACGACGTCAGGCGGCGGGCTGACTTCGAATCGGTCTGACAGAGATGAGGCTGAGAGGATGACAGTCCCCGCCTCCACAGACACAAAAGCCCAGCCCGAGGGTGGTTTCAGGGAGGGGCTGTTGGGACGGGGCAGAGCCTGGACTGGGGGCCCCTGCACAAGCACTGGGGCTCAGGCAACCTGGGAGACAGTGGGAATACAGGTTAGAAAGGAACTTTCTAAGTACTCTGAGGCTAACAAGGAAAACTGGAGAGGGGACGTTAAATTCCTTAAAAACATCAATACAGAAATACTGCTCTAGGCCGGGTGCGATGGCTCACGCCTGTAATCCCAGCACTTTGGGAGGCTGAGGTGGGAGGATCATGAGGTCAGGAGATAGACACCATCCTGGCTAACACAGTGAAACCCCATCTGTACTAAAAATACAAAAAAAAAAAAAAAAAAAAAATTAGCTGGGCAAGGTGGCGGGCACCTGTAGTCCCAGCTAAGTCAGGAGGCTGAGGCAGGAGAATAGCGGGAACCTGGGAGGCAGAGCCTGCAGTGAGCTGAGATTGCACCACTGCACTCCAGCCTGGGTGACAGAGAGAGACTCCGTCTCAAAAAAAAAGAAAAGAAAAGAAAAAGAAAAGAAATAGGAAAAGAAATACTGCTCTAAATCTCAAGATGCGATTTTTGAAACGGGAAACGAACAGCAAGAGGTCTCTGTGAGGAGCGTGGCCAGGTACATACCTAAGGTTTCCCGTTTTAGAAAACGGGTCAATACATTCATCCCTGGATAATATTCGATGAGAAAAAAGCTTCTTCTCGGGGTCTAAAAAGCCTTGGAAAAGAAAACAGGACAAAGATTACATGCCTGAGACACGTTTAGGTCACACAGCGCGTGGTGAAGTCTTGAAAGTTATTTTACAGTGGCAGACACAAAACTCGATGAATTGGCACCAAACACTTCACCCCTTTTCGTGTAAGACCGGGCTCACGGAGGGCTTCTTTTCTCTTATGGTGAACTTATTTGTCAAACACGAATCATGTCTGTAAGTGTTTATAATTCTATTAACATGGAAAATTTGTAACATCCTACTGAAGCACCTGTCTAAACCAGATGGACATGAAAACTACGGAAGGCACTTCATAAGTCAAACAGGTGAGTCACCGTTCAATCTCAAAACGCTCTGCATGTGGTTCTTCGCGTGATGGAGTCTGGACGCTGAACTGAAACTACCCTGCGTCACCTCGGACACGGTCTTTCCCAACCCCGGGCGGGCGGCCCTGCTCTCATCTGTAACGGTTAGTGGAAGGAAGGTTACCAAGGAAGCTTGCTTCTCCCAAGTTACTTCAGTAGAATCACACAAACTCACACGCTGTGTTGTAGAAACACAGAAAGGTCGGTTATTTCTCACTATTATACACGTTTACGCTGGTCATTCATCAGGCAACATCGAGGAAGTCTGCCTGACGGAGGAGACTGGGAAGGAAGGACATTACGACACCACAATGACCAGCTAGTGCAGAAGCTGCTTCCGCAGCGAAGAATCTGCCCGGGCTACAGTTGACACTTGTACTTTACACGACATCTGTTAATTACAAGTCTAGTTTAATTTTTTAAAAGTAATTTTCTAAAGAGCTTTACGTGCTTGATGCTCTGCTTTGACTCTTTAAAGACGGTAAAACCATGCTATCTGCAAACACCCCTTCTGCACTTCAGGAGGCACCACCGTCACAATCAAGAAATCAGGCAGAGGTTTCTTGGTATTACCTCTGCTCTGGGTTTCCTGATCTATAAATTTCTCTTTTGAACTTTTAGCCTACTGTATTACCTTCCTAAGTTTGCAAAGTCTTCAATTTACAGTGAAGTGCCCATAATTTTAAAGAAAAATAATTTAAAAATAAGTCATCTCTTGCTAATTTACAAGAACCACAGAATATATAGTAAACGTATTTCAGTTTGTGGAAGTAGGGGTACTAAACAAAAACAAAACAGACTTTTCAGGTAATTTATTCTATTGGTAAAATATGTTGGAGGCATCAAGTTCAATGTCAATTTAATTTCACTGGCCATTTAAAACATTCTAGAGAGAAAAAGCTACGGTAAGTATGAAGCCTCAGAAGGAAATGTTTCAGCTACTCATCATACAAGTGGCTGAAGCCATAAATTTGGACATACCTCAAGAGATAGGTATTCCATGACACGTAGATAACGTGTTTAAGAGTGTTTGCTCATTTAACATTTACTGAGTTTAACATTACTTGGAATTTTGCCAGGAATATAAGGTACAGGAATGAATACAACACAATTATTACCCTCCCAAGAGGTTGAAATTATAAGAAAACTGAACACATTAACACACAACCTCTATCTGGCATGACACGTGCAGGTGCCATGGAACAAAACGGAGACTAGACTGCAGAAGAGTGAGCCAGTCCAGAGTTGAGAGCTGGGTCTGTGGTCTCATCATGGCACACAGGTCCCCTGCATAACCGTCAGCTCTGCATGAAGCACAGCAGGTAGACCAGACATCTCAGAAGCACTGTGAACCCAAACTCCAACCACGCAGCCCACATCCTCTCAAGACTTAAGACTCACTGGAGCACCTGGCTCCACGCCCCATATGACACCCGGGGTCCACTTCCAGATCCGAACGCACCCACAATGCCCGGCTCCACATCTCCGCGTGGCACACGGGGTCCATTTCCAGATCCAAACGCACCCACAACGCCCAGCTCCACATCTCCGCGTGGCACACGGGGTCCACTTCCAGATCTGAACGCACCAACAACGCCCGGCTCCACATCTCCGCGTGGCACACGGGGTCCATTTCCAGATCCAAACGCACCCACAACGCCCAGCTCCACATCTCCGCGTGGACACGGGGTCCACTTCCAGATCTGAACGCACCAACAACGCCCGGCTCCACATCTCCGCGTGGCACACGGGGTCCACTTCCAGATCTGAACGCACCCACAACGCCCGGCTCCACATCTCCACGTGGCACACGGGGTCCACTTCCAGATCTGAACGCACCCACAACGCCCGGCTCCACATCTCCGCGTGGCACACGGGGTCCACTTCCAGATCTGAACGCATCCACAACGCCCGGCTCCACATCTCTGCGTGGCACACGGGGTCCACTTCCGGGATTTGAACGTGCTCTGACTGCACTCCACGCAATCACTATTGTTTTCACACTGGCTTTTAATCAACTACTGCCTGCACCCATCCCTACTGAGCTCAACCTCTGTACCACCACTTCTGAGATCACAAACGCGAGAAACACACTGGCTGTTTTCGATACAGGTTGAAACACACGCATGACAGTTAAAACAGAAGAGCTGCTCTGGGCGCCACCTCAGTTACCCTGCAGCCCCACGGCGCTACGCACAATGCACTCCGGGGTCCGTAAGATCTTCTGGAAAGATGAACCTGCCTCCTGGCTGAAGCATCACCACCTCCAAACGTTTCAAATGCAGCACTGCCAGGAGCTTTCGCTTCCTTGATGTCACTAGTTTGTTAGTATTTCAGTAACAAAAAGATACCTGGACTTAAAGAAGAAATAAATGCAATTGTTTCTTACTATATACAGACACTTAACTTCTAGATGATCACTGAGGCCACGAAGTCGCTAAATCTAAAGTCTGTTAAAGGAATTATTACCGTCTCTACAATCACACAAAAGACACGCATCCCAAACACTCAACATTTCTGTCCTAGTCATACTGAAAGCACACGTGCTATCAACACGGTCACTTTCAAAATGAAAAGCATCAAAGGCGGAAGCTCAGCAGCCACCTCAGGCTTCAGTCCGGACCTCACTTTCTCACTTGCAGAAACGCTGACCCAGGTCATCTCTACAGATCCCGCCAGCCACGACGAAGCCAAGCTGGGCCTCCCTGAACCGCAGCCTGGACGCAGTCCTCCTCCCGCGTTGCTGGGCTCGAGGGCCCGTGTTCTGCTGAGAATCTCTGCATCCATGTTCAAAGGGATACTGGTCTGCAGTTTTCTTGTGATGTCTTCGTCTGGTTTCGGCCCACATCCCTTGGACATACTGGAATACTGGACTTTCACGTAGAAAGCAGAGCTTGAAACGCAGAAGGCGCCAGACAGGGCCCGGTGATGCCAGCAAACCCAGCGGGTCTCCCTGCAGCAGGACCCACGCTCGAGGCCCTCCACAGCCACACACCCACCAGCAGGACCCACGCTCGAGGCCCTCCACAGCCACACACCCACCAGCAGGACCCACGCTCGAGGCCCTCCACAGCCACGCACCCACCAGCAGGACCCACGCTCGAGGCCCTCCACAGCCACACCCCCACCCACGCTCGAGGCCCTCCACAGCCACACACCCACCAGCAGGACCCACGCTCGAGGCCCTCCACAGCCACACCCCCACCCACGCTCGAGGCCCTCCGCAGCCACGCACCCACCCACGCTCGAGGCACAGCCACACACCCACCAGCAGGACCCACGCTCGAGGCCCTCCACAGCCACACACCCACCAGCAGGACCCACGCTCGAGGCCCTCCACAGCCACGCACCCACCAGCAGGACCCACGCTCGAGGCCCTCCACAGCCACGTACCCACCAGCAGGACCCACGCTCGAGGCCCTCCACAGCCACACCCCCACCCACGCTCGAGGCCCTCCACAGCCACGCACCCACCAGCAGGACCCACGCTCGAGGCCCTCCACAGCCACACCCCCACCCACGTTCGAGGCCCTCCACAGCCACACCCCCACCCACGCTCGAGGCCCTCCGCAGCCACGCACCCACCAGCAGGCTCCCTTGTTCTGCTGTCCAAGCGGCTCAGGGGCCTGTAGATGTCAGTATGGATGTTCTGCTGAATTTGCAGGCAGCTACCAGGCTCCCTCCAGCTTTCAGGCTGATAAAGAAACATGGCATTCTCTTCACCTGCTTCATCTTTCACCACACGAGGCCTCATGAACGTGGAATCTGACTGTAGTGTCCCACGCCCTGCCTGTCGGTGTGAAGGGTGGCAAGGGTGTGGCCCAGCTAAAACCTGGGACCCCTCTGCTTTTAGCCCAAATGCCCTCCAGCCAAGCATTTCAACAGACCCGAGCCTTCCACATACTCATCCTCACTGGGGCTTGTGTGCTCTGACCAACAAACGTTGACGTCCCTCAGAAAAGGATAAGCAAGACGTGTGCGACAGCCAACCTACATAACCCCAACTTTAAAGAGAGAGACCTGGAGAAGGATGCCCCAAATAAGAAACATTTGCATGGGCACTAGATACACGGACAGAAGATGGGACAGGAGAAGAAGGAAAAATCACCGGCGCATCCTGGACTGCCTGCCGCCTTCAGGAATCAGACTTGCAGGTCGCCAGGCTGTGCCCGCTGGGGAGCACCCTGTGTGGGAGGCGGGAGGCAGGAGGCAAACGGGTCACCTGCCAGGGAGCAGGCCATGAAGCGCGCGGTGCTCACAGTCCTGGGGGTCAGGAACCACTCCCCCACTGAACAATCTGGGTTTCAGGAACTCACCCAGAGGATCCAGTCCACAGAGGAGGGAAAAACTCACATAAAATGATGAAGATTTATAACAAAGGGATGGATGAATTCTTGGTGATGAAATCTTATATGAAAAGAACAGTACATAAACTTGTGCACATATTAAGACAAACTCGGCAAAATTATACACACAAAAAAATAGAGAATAGGGGACAGCCACGGATATGACGACCGTGAGGAAGACTTCTCTGGTCTTAGTCTCTCCCTGACATTTGTTATTGTGAACGTGACGCCCCTTGGGCGTCTGGTCTGCGTGGGCGTCACCCGCACTGCGGTGTGTGACTTACGGGTTGGCCCCTGGGAGGTGCCTGGTACTGGCTGCGAAGGCACAGTCCAGGGCTGGAACACACACAGGGAGTCCGGGGCTGGAACACACACAGGGATTCGGGGCTGGAACACACACAGGGATTCAGGGCTGGAACACACACAGGGAGTCCAGGGCTGGAACACACACAGGGATTTGGGGCTGGAATACACACAGGGATTCGGGGCTGGAACACACACAGGGAGTCCAGGGCTGGAACACACACAGGGATTTGGGGCTGGGACACACACAGGGATTCGGGGCTGGAACACACAGGGAGTCCGGGGCTGGAACACACACAAGGATTTGGGGCTGGAACACACACAAGGATTTGGGGCTGGAATACACACAGGGATTCGGGGCTGGAACACACACAGGGAGTCCGGGGCTGGAACACACACAGGGATTTGGGGCTGGGACACACACAGGGAGTCCGGACTGGGACACACAGGGATTCGGGGGTCTATCTCCACATAGTGGAAGTCGACTAAGGCAGCTTAGTCGGCCTGGGCTGCTCTGAAGAAACTCCACAGCGTGGGTGACTCAGGAACGGACGTCCCTTCCTCACAGTTCTGGAGGCAGCGTCCGACCAAGGCGCCAGCGACGCGGCTGCAGGTCAGTGGGAACTGGCTTGCTGCGCCTCCCGCAGCTCCCAGAACCCGCCTGGGTAAGGGCCCTGATTCCACTCAGGAGGATGGAGTCCTCACGACCTCACCGCCTTCCACACCCCTCCTGACACCCTCGCCTTGGGACTGGGTTTTATTTATTTATTTATTTATTTATTTTTTTATTTATTTTTTTTTTTTTTGAGACGGAGTCTCGCTCCGTCGCCCAAGCTGGAGTGTAGTGGCGCGATCCTGGCTCACTGCAAGCTCCGCCTCCTGGGTTCACGCCATTCTCCTGCCTCAGCCTCCCGAGTAGCTGGGACTACAGGCACCCGCCACCGCACCCGGCTCATTTTTTGTATTTTTAGTAGAGACGGGGTTTCACTGTGGTCTCGATCTCCTGACCTTGTGATCCGCCCACCTCGGCCTCCCAAAGTGCTGGGATTACAGGCGTGAGCCACCGCGCCCGGACTAGACTGGGTTTTAACATATGGACTTGGGGGCTGTAAAACCCCAAATCATAGCAGGCGTTACTTCTTTTGTTTTTTGTTTTTTGTTTTTTTTTTTTTTTGAGACAGAGTCTGCTCTGTCGCCCAGGCTGGAGTGCAGTGGCGCGATCTCGGCTCACTGCAAGCTCCGCCTCCAGGGTTTACGCCATTCTCCTGCCTCAGTCTCCCGAGTAGCTGGGACTACAGGCGCCCGCCACCACGCCCGGTTAATTTTTTGTATTTTTAGTAGAGACGGGGTTTCACCGTGTTAGCCAGGATGGTCTCGATCTCCTGACCTCGTGATCCGCCTGCCTCGGCCTCCCAAAGTGCTGGGATTACAGGTGTGAGCCATGGCGCCTGGCCAGCAGGTTATTTCTTTACTGACTTGAGGACGTGAGCAGTATCACCCTTGTGCATAATTACTTGTCTTCACATCATTGATCTCAGGCAGCCATACAGCAGCCCCATAATGTTACAAGTGAATGTTTCGAATTTCAATTACAAGAGGAATTAAAGGTCATGATCAAAATTCCTAGAAAGGCACTAAATATTAAACGAGGATTCAAAATTCATTTCCCCACCAACAACAAAAGACTAAGACCAATCCGGAAAGATCTTTGAATTTTAAAACACTCAATCTAAACCTCTGGAGCCGGCACGGAGGAGCCCACACTGCCACTCGGGCCCACATCCACGTGGGACAGACAGTCACCGTCCCACGTCGTCCCCTCGCTTCGTCCACGTGGGACAGACGGTCACCGTCCCGCGTCGTCCCCTTGCTTCATCCACATGGAACAGATGGTCACCGTCCCATGTCATCGTCCCCTTGCTTCGTCCACGTGGGACAGATGGTCACCATCCCGTGTCATTGTCCCCTCACTTTGTCCACGTGGGACAGACAGTCACCATCCTGTGGCATTGTCCCCTCGCGTCATACACATGGGACAGTCACTGTCCCGTGGCACTGTCCCCTTGCTTCATCCTGCTGGTGCAGACTGGCACTCACGCTACCACCCAGGGAGACAGAAGCAAACGCTAAATCCTAAGGGTACCCATGTGCAGGTAGGGGATGGTCACACTGTGTATAGTGAGAGCATCCGGCACGAGCACACACAAGTAGCCTGGCCTGAAGTCCCTGTGAACTGATTAAGAAGGGATCTGTCAGAGTATCTCACAGAAGGTGGTTCCACGTGCCCACGTCGTCCTGACAAACTCCCAAAATGGCCCACCCAGTACTGCACCCGGCCAGAGCGGCTGCAGCCCCACCCGCCGGCCTCGGTGGCAGAATTCCCTTACCTCTCACAACCCCCTGCACAACGGCGAACTCCAAGACCACAACTGAGTTGCAGGGGAGCTGCTTTTCTTTCTTCATCTTTAAGAAACCATCACCGAAAACAGGAAAGAAACCCACCGTTCCCACGGCCCCTCCGGCCGCGGCGGACTGACCTGCGATGGTGTGTGCGGAAACCCACGGTTCCCACGGCCCCTCCGGCCGCGGCGGACTGACCTGCGATGGTGTGCGCGGAAACCCACGGTTCCCACGGCCCCTCCGGCCGCGGCGGACTGACCTGCGATGGTGTGTGCGGAAACCCACGGTTCCCACGGCCCCTCCGGCCGCGGCGGACTGACCTGCGATGGTGTGCGCGGAAACCCACGGTTCCCACGGCCCCTCCGGCCGCGGCGCACTGACCTGCGATGGTGTGCGCGTACAGCCGGCTGCCGAAGGTGAAGACGTGCAGCTCGTACAGCTTGGCGATCTTCTCCAGGAAGTCCTTGCAGTGCGGACGCAGGCGCGTGTGCAACATGGGCTCACCCCGGCCCAGCTGGAAGTGAAAGATGCCCTGAAAAGACGGCAGCAACAGTCAGGAGAAAAGGTCTGAGAAGCCCCAGCGGCCCCCACAACCCGTGCGCCTGAGACAGGCGTCCTGAAGACACACGTGTCCGAGACAGGCGTTCTGAAGACATGCATATGCCTGCCCCTCCACATGGGACAGAGGACATGCGTGTGTACGCACCTCTCCACACGCACAGAGGACACGTGTGTACACGCCCCTCCACATGGACAGAGGACATATGTGTGTACACGCCCCTCCACATGGAACAGAGGACATGCATGTGTACACAGCCTTCCACATGGGACAGAGGACATGAGTGTGTACACGCCTCTCCATGTGGGACGGGGACATGTGTGTGTACATGCCCCTCCATATGGGACAGAGGACACACGTGTGCACACACCCCTCCATGTGGGACAGGGGACAGTGTGTACACGCCCCTCCACATGGGACAGAGGACGTGTCTGCACTCGCCCCTCCACATGGGACAGGGGACAGCAGTGTGTACATGCCCCTCCACATGAGCATGGGACAGAGGACGTGTGTATGCACACATGCCTCCACGTGGGACAGGGGACAGTGTGTACACGCCCCTCCACATGGGCATGGAACACAGGACATGTGTGCACACACCCCTCCACGTGAGACAGGGGACAGTGTGTACACGCCCCTCCACATGTGCATGGGACAGAGGACATGTATACACGCCCCTCCACGTGGGACAGAGGACATGCGTGTGCACACACCCCTCCATGTGGGACAGGGGACAGTGTATACATGCCCCTCCACATGGGCATGGGACAGAGGACATGCATGTGCACACACCCCTCCATGTGGGACAGGGGACGGTGTGTACACGCCCCTCCATGTGGGACAGAGGACCACACGTGCGCCCATCCCTCCATGTGGGACAGAGGTTGCATGTCCACCTGCCCCTCCAAATAAGGACGTGACCCTAACTGGTGCAAGGCGCTACCTGTGGCATTTAAAACCCACTGTGTAAGTACTTTCCATGAACGTGGTATGAGTGAGCGAGTGCGGCCTTCTCAGCTGCGGGAATGCCCTCGATGCATGTGATTAACAACTGCCCATGATTAGTAGGATAAACACCCACCTGCAACGACTGTTCAAGACCACCACCCTGGGCAATCACGTTAACAGTAACAGCCTCTATCACAACTACATGATAAGCACCGATGACAGCTCCACTCACTACTCATGCTAGCTACCTACCTGCAGCAACCCGTCCCTGATAACCCCCCGATAACCAGACAATGGTAACCACCTGTGATAACCACACAATAACCCCCCCGATAACCCGCCAACAGTCACCACCTATGATAACCACACAATAACCATCCCCAATAACCGGCCAACAGCAACCACCTATGATAACCACATAATAACCCCCCCGATAACCAGCCAACAGCAACCACCTATGATAACCACATAACCACCGAAGACAGCTACACTCACTACTCATGCTAGCTACCTACCTGCAACAACCCGTCCCTGATAACCACCCCGATAACCAGCCAACAGTCACCACCTGTGATAACCACCGATTACAGCTACACTCACTACTCACGGTAACTGCCTACCTGCAATGACCGCCTAGGATAACCACCCCGATAACCAGCCAACAGTAACAACCTGTGATAACTACGAGATAACCACCGATGTCACTTCTGCCTTTGTTTCTTCAAACGCTGACGCGTTACACAGCAATGCCACTGCAGGTGCTCTGAACAGACCTCCTCCCACGTCACGTGCTGACAGTGCTTTCCTGAGCTACTGAATAAAAGAAATCAACATTCCCAGGTAATCTGGTGTAACGCACGGGTGATTTTCAGATACAGTTTCTTTCATTTACATACACAACACAGAAGCCGAACGTATTCTAAATCGTATTTACTAGACAGATGAAATGAGCAATACCGACTCACTCGCCTACCTGTGATCGACATGCAAATAAGACTGCTTTCCTCAGGAAGTTAAACTTCGATCCTTTTAATCCTGTTAATTTCTCAGTAAAATATTTACTCTTAATGGCTTTAATTAAGCTCAGTTACATTTTTCCAGCTCTAAGTTAGTTAGGACCCTGGGGAAGAAGCTACTCTGTTAAAGATCTACAAGTGAAAAGTTTTAGTAACAACTTTCCCAGTTACATTTTTCTAGCTGTAAGTTAATTACCACCCTCATGAAGAAGGTACTCTGTTAAAGATTTAGGAGTGAAACGTTCTAGCAAGAACTTTCCTATTACTCAACAGTAACAAGTCCAGCAGCTGTCCAGGCTTCGGGAGGTGTGGCCAGCACCACTTCTGAGCCCCGAAATTGCTTTCAGAGGGGCCAGGAGTAGGGCCAGGCACCGCCTCAGGGTGTCCTCTGGATGTTGAGTGGGGTACACTAACACAACTGAGGAGGCAGAGGACAGTCAGTTCATGCTTAGACCCCCTTCCCCACTGCATCAGGACATTGTCGCCTTCCAGACCACACAACTGAGAAACAGCCACATTATAACCGGACTCCAACTGTCTTCAGCAGGCCTATCCTGGAGATACTGAGAATCACAGGAATTTTTTGGTTTCCCAGTGACTATAATCCATGCTGACACTCTACTGTAGCTTATTAAATGTGCAATAGCATTATGTCTAAAAGAACAATGTACCTAGTTTAATTTAAAAATACTTTATTATTAAAAATGGCTAGGTGCGGTGGCTCAATGCCTGTACTCCCAGCACTTTGGGAGGCTGAGGCAGGTGGATCACTTGAGGTCTGGAGTTCGAGACCAGCCTGGCCCGCAACCCTATCTCTATTAAAATTATAAAAATTAGCTGGGTGTGGTGGTACACACCTGTAGTCCCAGCTACTCGGGAGGCTGAAGCACAAGAATGGCTTGAACCCGGAGGTGGAGGCTGCATGATACAGAGATCGTGCCACTGCACTCCAGCCTGGGCAACGGAGCGAGACTCCGTCTCAAAAAATTAAAAAATAAAAAAAATATTATTAAAAAATGCTAACAACATCTGAGCCTTCAGCAAGTCACATTCTTCGGCTGCCGTACGGTCTCACCTCGATGCTGACGGCTGCTGACCGATCAGAGGGTGTTTACTGAAGGCTGGGGGTGGCTGTGACGGTTTCTTGAAGTAAGATGACAAGGAAGTTCGTCCCATCAATCAACTTTTCCTCTCACAAAAGGTTTCTCTGTAGCACGCAATGCTGTTTGACAGCATTTTACCCACAGGAGAACTTGTTTCAAAACTAGGGGCAATCGCCGTAGACCCTGCCACTGGTTTATCAACTAAGTTGATGGAATCTTCCAAATCCTTTGTTGTCATTTCAACGACGTTCACAGCATCTTCTCCAGGAGCAGATTCTATTTCAAGAAACTTTCTTTGCTCATCTGTAAGATGCAACTCCTCATCTGTTCGAGTTTCATCCTGAGGTTGCCAGAATTCAGTCATCTTCAGGCTCCACTCCTAATTCTCTCGCTATTTCCACCACGCCTGCAGCGCCTTCCTCCGCTGAGGTCCTGACACCCTGGAAGTCATCCATGAAGGTGAGAACCAACACCTTCCGAACTGAGCGCTGGAATCACCATCTCCTGAACTCCTGGTTGATGCTGATACTCTGACGTCCTCCCATGAATCACAAATGTTCCTGGGGGCACTCACAACGGTGAATCCTTTCCAGAAGGATTTTCTGTTTGATTTTCCCAGACTCATCAGAGGAATTGCCCTCTAAGGCAGCTCCAGCCTTAGAAGATGTAGTTCTTAAATAATAAGACTCGAAGGTTGAAATCATTTCTTGAGCCCTAGGTTGCAGGGTGGATGTGGTGTCAGTAGGCGTGAAAACATTCTTCTGCTGTACGTCTCCATCAGAGCTCTCGGGTGACCAGGTGCATGGTCGATGAGCAGGAATATTTCTGAAAAGAATCTCTTTCTGAGCAACAGGTCTCAAGAGTGAGCTTAGATGGTCGGTAAACCACGCTGTGAACACAGGTGCTGTCATCCAGGCTTTGTTGTTCCATGGATGGAGCACAGGCAGAGGAGATTTAGCCTCAGTCTTAAGGGCCCTGGGATTTTCAGAATGGCACCTGGGCACTGGCTTCAACTTAAAGTCAGCAGCTGCATTAGTCAGTCTCCAACGAGAGAGTCACCCTGTCCTCTGAAGCCCGGCACGGACTTCTCCTCTCCAGCTATGAAAGTCCTAGATGGCATCTTCTTCCAATAGAAGGCTGTTTTGTCTGCACTGAAAATCTGTTGTTTAGTGTGTTTAGTTTCATCAATGATCTCAGCTCGATCTCCTGGGGAACTTACCGCAGTTTCTCCATCAGTACCTGCTGCTTCACCTTCACTTTTACGTTACTGAGACGGCTTCTTTCCTTCAACCTCATGAACCAACCTGTGCTGGTTTCCAGCTTTTCTTCTGCAGCTTCCTCACCCCTCTCGGCCTTCACAGAATTGAAGACAGTTCGCGCCTTGTTCTGGATTAGGCTTTGGCTTAAGGGAATGTTGAGGCTGGTTTGATCTTCTACTGAGACCACTACAACCTTCTCCTTCCCAGCAATAAGGCTGTTTCACTGTCTTATCACTTGTGTGTTCACCGAAGTGGTAGTTTTAGTTTGCTTCAATAACTTTTCCTTTGCATTCACACCTTGGCTGTTTGCAGCCTTTCCTGGCTTTCGGTGTGCCTTCCTCACCTAGCATAATCATGTCTACCTTCTAATTTAAAGTGAGAGACTGGTGAGCCTTCCTCTCACTTGAACACCTACAGGTCCCTGTAGAGTTATTACTTTGGCCTAATTTCAATACAGTTGTGCCTCGGGGAACAGGGAGGCCTCAGCACCGGGACAGAGACAGGGAATGGCCGGTTGGTGGAACAGTCAGGACCACACATCTACCCATTACGCTTGCCGTCTTATGTGGGTGTGCTTCACGGCACCCCAAAACAATGACAACAGTGACCTCAAAGATCGCAAATCACAATCCCCTAGAGCAGACAGAACACTAATGAAGCAATTATGACAACAGTGACCTCAAAGATCACTGACTACAGGTCCCTGTAACAGCAGACCACCACCGAGGAGTCTGAAGTACACGGGAATCTCCAGAGTGCGGCACACACGCCACTGGAGAATGACACCCACAGCCGTGCTCGCTGGGTGCCCCGAGCCTCCTCTCTGGGAACACACAGTATCCGTGAAGCACTATAAAATGAGCTGAGCCTATAAAACTCACTCAATGCCCAACCTCATAGCACAATAAAAGCAGGGAACAGTCACAACTACTCACGGAGGTGCATGTGTGCGGAATGTATTTTCATGAAGTCCTTACATCCTTCAAAACACCTAGTTTGTCAGAAAATAGGCATTAAAAAAACCTTAGTGAGTAGAGTAGTGGATATGAATGAAGCAATCTGAAAATATCTAGTCACAGTTTATACTGCATAGAAGAATATATTGCTGTATAACATGCCATGATACACACAAATGACTAACACAGCCAAAAATAGAAGCTGTTTTGTGGGTGAGGCCTGAATTCCGGCCCTAAAGGAAACTCCTGTGCAGCACGGCAGTTACTCGATTCTCTCCATTCTGCAAATAGCGTAAAACGTGAGAGTTTGTGCCACCTGGGGGATCTGTGCAGCTCACCCTGGCCACCAGGCTGACGTACTGGGCCGAACTTAACTAAACTTCTTTCAGACGAAGCTTGTCACCAATTTGACTTAGGTGTAACTGTCATCAATTTGTCCCAGCTGTTGGTGCCACGCCCCACTATTCCGCAGTGGAGGGCGCCTGGCTCTGCAGTGCACCCTCCAGCCTGCTGGGCGTCTGCTATCGGGACCTGCAAGATCCCCAGGAAGCTTTAGGAACTGGAAAGGTCAGAACTGACAGGCCCCTGAACTCCCAAATCTAACGCCAGAGTCCACATACTATCTGTTTAACAGCAAACATCTAAAAAACAACTCAGTGTTGGTGAGGGCCTCCCTGCTGGCGACCGTCTAGGCCCACACAAGCCTCTGGGCAAGCCTCTTGGCACAGACATAAAGAGCCTTTGGTCTAGAAATTCAGTTTCTCTGGCTCCATCCTGAGGACACAGCTGAGGCGCAGGAAGGGTTCTGTGTGCATTAAACAGGGCTCTGCCCTTATCCTTCGTTTCTCCCTGTATTTCCTCTGCAGAATGCACACTGACCACCTCCCAGCCTCTTCCTCCAGCCCAGCTCTCCCAAGCACAAACCCAGGGGTCCACCACCTGCCCTTGACATCCCAGCGACACAAAGGCATCCAACACCAACGTCCTCCCCACCAAGACCACCACTCCCAGGACACGTCTCGCACCATCCACCGCACCATCCTCACAGGCTTGGAACACTTCCGCCCTCTCCGACAGCCTGCCGCGCGGGCACACAAAGGGCTCCCGCACAAACAGCAGGAAGTGCGAGACACAGTGGGCACCAAGATGTCTGCCCGGGGGCCCAGATGCTACCCAACCGCCCAGCAGACACACAGCCCACACCCAGAACAAGAGAGTCTGCTTTCGAAATCCAGGCTGACCTGTGGGAAATCATCTAAAAAACAAGGTAACACACTTCTGAATCAAAGTTCTAGGACCTGCGGCTCCGGGACCTGGGGTGCCAGCCACACTCACTTTATTCGACATCTGCTGACAGTGCTGCTCGGTTGTGTGGATCAGCGTCTGGTCCAGATCCACCATGAGCACCAGCTTCCGGTTCCGATGCAGTCGCTGCTGGTCTTCTCTTCCCAGCTCCTCCGCTTGCTACAATTAAACAGAAACAAGAAATGATAAAGTCAGTATGTTTGCATCCAAGGTAAAACTCCATTTCATCAAGAAACAGGAAACGAAATAAACGCGTCCCTCTCCAGCCCCCAGCACTCCCCATGGCCTGCGCCCCACAGGCCGAGAGCCAGGGCCGGGTCACCAGCTGGGTCACGGCAACCTTGCCTGTGACCACGATTTTATAATTCAGTTAAATACATGAGCCAATGAAAACAGAGGGGAAGAGAAACTGGTTGTTTCTATCAAAGCCACTTCAATGGTATGGAGCACTCAATAAAAGTGAGCTGCAAAATTAATGAAGAAACCAAGTCAGCCGGCTGGGAGAAGGGAGACGCTGGGTGGCCCAAGCTGGGCAGCAGAGACTGGCAAGGGCCATGTGCTCAGAACCTCCCACACTCAGCCTATTCCTGTGCCTCGAAGAGACCCGGGGGCCTGGCGACAGCGCATCAGGGTGTCCCTCCACGCGGGGCCCAGAGCGCTGCTAACAAGTACCCAGTCACCCAGGCATCAGCGGCCCAGTGTGCGACACAGGACGTGATGTGCTAGGACGCACCACGCTGCCTTTCTCACTGTAACTGGCCCTCACTCTTCACAACAAAATCCTGGTCCCGCCCGTGGGTACCTCCTCCTGTACCCGTCCCCGAAGGGAAACACACAGAGGGGCCAGCAGGTGCTGGAAAGATGAGGAGTACTTCCTTCTCCCTTCACCCCCAAACTTGCCAGCTTTGGTTTACGTGCACACATTTTACATTCGTTTAAAGTTTGGTAATTCAGAAAACCCAGAATCCTGTATCTAGCATTTTGTTTTTCCCATAAAAAGACAGACTGAAATTGGTGTCCATCATTTAAAAGCACGAATTTACCAAAATCATAACACTGCAAAGTGTTTTACCTACTCACAAAACTGTGCAGCCCTGAAAGTCCGTAAGATCACACACTAGTTTTTCTCGGCTCCCAGAGCATTTTCACCCACGGGGTGAAGTGAGGTCTGGGAGACGGCGTCTGCCTCGAGCACAGGAGGTGCCGGAGCCGCCGGCCCACAGAGCCCCAGCAACTCCTGAAATACATACAGGAGGCGTAGACACTCGAAGATAAAAACCCAAATCACTCTTAACTGGGCACACGAACACCTGCCCGTTCTCTCCACCCCACGTACCCGCCGTGGGCTCTCCTGTCAGCACAAGGCAAACAGCCCTGGGACCCCCCAACCGACCCCCGCGTGTGCCCACTCTCCCGAGCCAGCTTCCCACTGGTACCAGCAGCAGCCACTCCTGTAGCCAACAAAGTGCTACCACTGCCCCCTCGCCCGACCCTGGCCACCAACTCCTTGCCATTATCTGCCCCAATAGACGCTTTGCCCTCCCGGCTCATCTGGCACACGTCTTGGCAGCGCGGCCACCTCCTGAGCTCCACAAGCAGCTGTCACATCCCTCCCCAGTTAGGACTTGGCTTGAGGGAACCTAGGCTGAGCCTGGCTGTTCACAGCTGCGGAACATGCAGGTCATGCTGCCTCAGGGCCCCGAGTCGCTTTTGCAGGCGGACTTGTCTGTGGAGAACCAAGGGCAGCCGTCCCTGTTTCAGGAAGGCAGCAGCCCCATAAGTCATCTGTGTGACAAGGGTTGTTTCAGTAACAACGAAGACAACCACACATCAGTGCTACTGCAGCCGCCCTCCCCCCGCAGCCGCCCTCCTCAGAGCACCACGCTTCCCCAACACGCAGTCGCTGACGCCCAGCTCACCTCGGAGCTCACCATCAACTCCGGCACGCTGTGCACCATGGACACGGTCGCCGTGGACAGTGGCACCTGCTGCCTCCCGTTCTTACTCTGCAACCTGTGAGTGCAAGGACAGGTTCAGGGCTTTCCGCTGAGTCCCTGAGCACAGATGCACACTGGGCTCTAAGTGATGGGATTCCAGCTGCTGTTTTAAAGGACACATGCTGCTATCTGAGCACAGAACTTAATTCTGTTGACAACTGTAGAAACGTTCTCCACTGTTTACAGACAGACAGGAAAACTGGTGGAAATACTGAGCTCATGGCCACACTCGTGAACACACAGAGCCACAGTTCTTCATGAAAACAAACTGCAAAGTCACACAGAAACAGAAACAGGCCCTCAACCATGAAAATGCAGAAAAAGGAGCTGCCGCACCTCCCACTGCCCAAGTGATAAATCCAAGAAACCACTTGGCATTAGAGGTAAAGCAGCCCCCAGCACGGGGGCGCTCGGGGGGACCAGCCAGGCTGTCCTGAGGGAGGCGCTGCTCCAGATACTCAGCGACCTGCGTCTTCAGAGTCAGGAGAAAACAGACAGGTCTCAGCTCTCTAGCACCCCCACGACCACAACTGAGAACGGCACAAGGCTGGGGTGACGGCAGAGCAGGAAGGACCACCTCCTAAGGAAACCCACTGAGTGGGACTCGCGTGGGGCCCAAGGGAGGCGTCTGCACCTGCTGCTGGGAACCAAGGGCCTCACTGGATCCCTAGCACAGCTTCTCAGACTCCCGGGAGGCCACCATCTTGAGCCCCAGCAGGCAGATCTCACTCTTCTGGACACTTACTGGGTGAGGTCTTGGCCACATTCAGCACACAGGCCTTTCATGACAACCGGGTGGCTGCATCCTTCCAGTCTCACCAGAACCGCCCTACAAAACACGAAGGGAAGAACACTTCAAAATCTCTTGGTTTATCACAGGAGCCCTCCCGTACGAATTTTAAAATCTAAGTTTTCGTGCCAATACAACACCAACTCTTGCATAACTTTGTAGGCAAGTGGCCTCACCCCTTGAGGGCATTTCTTCGTCCATCAAATGACTTTCCACCTGTAGGTCTCTCTCACGAAAACGACACGCAAAAAACGACACGCCACCACACCTCACCAGCCCCGTGCCACCCGTGGAACAGCTGAAAACACTGAGGATGTCTGGTTCAAAGAGGAGACTTGGCGAGAACGTAAAAGTTGTCTCAAAATACACATTTATATGTGATCCTCTGACATTTGTGATAGAGAACTTATAAAATCTAAAACTTTTACATCATTCTCAGTCTAGAGAGAGGCTGACGCAACTACGTTTTCCTAACAAAACTACTGTAATATTCTGGTTTTATATAAACACGAACTGTTTCGTTTGTCCAAACAGTGGTCATCTGGCAGAAACCATGGAAGTGCTGAAATCTGAGACCAGAGGCCGCCCAGCTCTCAGCGCCTGTCCCAGGTGCCCGTGGCCCCACACTCCCGCCCCAGCTGGGCTGCTCCGACCACCCCACCCACAGACATGAGGCTGCCCAACACTCAGCATCCGCCCCAGGTACTTGCAACCCCACACCCTCCTCCCAGGTGGGCTGCTCCGAACACCCTGTCCCACGGACACACACGAGGCAGCCGCCCAAGCTGCATCTGTCAACGGGACTTTTCAGGCGGGATGCCCCATGGCCCACCGAGATACCCAGCCATGTCATTGAGAGGGCGTGAGGATCAAGCCGCAGGTGGCAATGAGGCGGAGCTACATCCTCCATGCCCACTATGCCATGGCGGGCTGCGCTGGGAGACTTGGAGGGGCGGGTCTGCACCCTGCATCCTGCAGGGAGACTCAGAGGGGCAGGTGTGCAGTCTGCATCCCGGAGGGAGACCAGGAGGGGTGTGTCTGCAGCCTGCATCCTGGAGGGAGACTCGGAGGGACAGGTCTGCAGTCTGGAGGGGGCAGAAGGGAGATTCGGAGGGACAGGTCTGCGGCCTGGAGGGAGGGGAAGGGAAACTCGGAGGGACAGGTCTGTAGCCTGGAGGGAGTGGACAGCTCCCAGGGTGGACTTCGGCTCACTGCAACTTCTGCCTCTGGGGTTCAAGTGATTCTCCTGCTTCAGTATCCTGAGTAGCTGGGACTGCAGGTGCGCACCACCACACCTATTTTTGTATTTTTAGTAGATGGGGTTTCACCACGTTGGCCAGGCTGGTCTCAAACTCCTGACCTCAGGTGATCCGTTCACCTTGGCCTCCCAAGGTGAACGGCTCATGCTGGGATTACAGCATGAGCCACTATGCCCGGCCTTATTTGTTCTTATGGCAGAAAGCCAACCAAAAAATGGAGAAGAAATGCTGGAACTGAGAACACCACCCCTGGAGTATCATCCTAGAAATGAAGCGATTCCAGCAGGAATCATCGAGAGATACCCAAAACGGTGGGTCAGCTTGGTAAGAATGTAAGGTATTTATGTAGTAACAAAGTGTATCTTTCAAGTTACTGAATCACAACAGGAAAAGTAGTAACTTTTTGCAACAGACACCAACTTCACCGAACGCAGGCTCTGGGACAGTCTTATCAGAGTGCATTGCTGTGATCTAACTGAGGGACGTCCTACAAAACCAGGCAATGATACCGAAAGAAAGACGGATGGAGGAGCTGACTTGTGAGGGTTCAACCAGCGACGCCACGTGGGGCCCACGGTTTGCTTTTGTTACAAAGGACTTTAAAAGGACTGCCGGGAAACCTGCAGAGCAGGAAACCGCATTGTGTGGACGTTCATTTCTGATTTTGGTAACTGCATGGCCATCATGTAAGAGAGTGTCTTTGTTTTCAGGAAACTAAAGTATTTAGGGGTGAAGTGACATCACACCTGCAACTAACTCTCCAACTCCAGAAAACCGTGCGTGTGCGTGGGCAAAGATAAGCAAACTCAGCAGAGCATTAACATTCGCGGAATCTGGGGTGAAGCTGGTGTGAGAATTCTGTGCACTGTTACTGTAACTTTGAAGTCAAAAATTATGTCCCAAAAGAGCCCAAGTGGTTGGGTGTGGTGGCTCACACCTGTAATCCCAGCACTTCGGGAGCCTGAGGCAGGATCACCTGAGGTCAGGAGTTCTAGACCAGCCTGGCCAACATGGTGAAACCATCTCTACCAAAAATACAAAAATTAGCTGGGTGTGGCCAGGAACGGTGGCTCATGGCTATAATCCCAGCACTTTGGGAGGCCAAGACAGGTGGATCACCTGAGGTCAGGAGTTCGAGACGAGCCTGGCCAACATGGTGAAACCCTGTCTCTACTAAAAATACAAAAATTAGCCAGGTGTGGTGGCTCACGCCTATAATCCCAACACTTCAGGAGGCTGAGGCGGGTGGATCACCCGAGGCCAGGAGTTCAAGACCAGCCTGGCCAACATGGTGAAACCCCGTCTCTACTAAAAATACAACAATTAGCCGGGTGTGGTGGCGGGCGCCTGTAATCCCAACTACTCAGGAGGCTGAGGCAGGAGAATGGCGTGAACCCGGGAGGCGGAGCTTGCAGTGAGCTGAGATCGCGCCACTGCACTCCAGCCTGGGTGACAAGAGTGAAACTTCATCTCAAAACAAAAAACAAACAAACAGCGTGAAAGGAACGAGTGTTGTTGTTTTGTCTCCTGTGTAGCCACAGGGGTAGGAGGGTGCTCCAGCACCAGCCCCAGGCTGGAGTCCAGTGCTGTGCACACAGAGTGCAGTCGTCAGCTGTGGCTCACACTCTGCACCTGGTTCAGTCGCCCAAAGCCCAGAGGCAGCCCTCCGGGAGAACCTGCACAGCGGGGCTCTGGCAGCAGTTCCTGAAGCTGTGGCTGTAAAGCACAACGTCTGAGGAATGTGAAGAAGGAACAAGGGCAGTCCAGCCGGATGCCCAACGTGGCACACATCCACACAGAGCCACGGCGGGGAAGCTTCAACATTGCCACTGTGGTCTAGAGCAGGTCACCCAACAAAACCAGTTCCCAGCACGGCTCAACACCACGCGGTGCCACGTGCACCACACCATTCAGACCCTACTGCCCTCTCTGCTGGCTAAACAGACCTGCAACGAAGGTCCTTGCCTCAGAACCTCAACAGACCGCAGGGAGCCATGGTATCAAATGCTTCCAGTGTGAAAACACTTTAACCCCCGGTGGTATGCTCAGGACAAAAAGCCAACTGCCACGGAGCAGGCCCACCAGCGAACTGAAAGTCAACCCGATGCTGGGTACCGACTCGCTAACTCCGTCATTCCCGCCGGTTCACAGTCAGCACAAAAAATGCACCAAAACAGTATGACATCAGCGTTATTCACCATTTAAAGCACCATAGGAAAATCAGTCTTTCAAAAGTTACTTCAAAAATATTACAAATATTAAATGAGTTAAATTTTAGCTCCAGTTCCTCTTAAAATTATAAGGAATTTTATACATACATGATGCTAAATATATATTTAAAAATCTATCAAGACCATCTCTTCATAATCTTTAAAAGGTACATTTATCTTTTAAAAAATATCACCTGAATCCTTTGAAACTCATCGGTTCCATTCTGTCTACATTCTCTTTCTCCGCGAAATATAAAAAGCACTTTTTCTGAGACAAAGAACTTATTTCAGTTTTGATATTTGGCACTTCTAAAATACACATAAAACTGAGAATTCATCCATTTTTCTGTACCCAGATACTAGATGATTTCACGTAACCCACTTCAAAACTAACTTTAAAGGAACCATGAAAATGGAGGCAAATCTGGTAACACACATTTCTGAAACCTACCAGCTATTTCCAGGCGGACACGCTCCAAAGGCCTTTATCTAAAAGATTAGATCAGAGATACCTAAAAGTCACGACAAAGGGAAATCACAGATGAACACAACCAAGGAAGGAACAGGCCCAGTGGTTTTCTGTTAGGTGAAAAGTGGGAAAAACAAGGGAAAGCACCTGAAGTGCACCTTACCCACGTTCCGCGGGCGACAAACCGGCAACCCCCGGGCTTCAGACACAGATCTCATTTCTGAAGCATCATTCTTTACATAGTGCAGGCAGCAACAGGGAAGAATAAAGTTATTCTAGGGAATTAATTATGAGAATTATTAATAATAAAATTATTCTAAAAGACTTACCAGTTCATCAAGATTCTCGGTACCCGGATGAAAACGAACTCTCCTTATTTCCAGGACCTGACCCTCAGATGACGACGTTCATGCAGGACTGAACCACATTTAGAATTTCCGAAGCTTCTACTCCCCAGTCACAGAATAAAGTGGGGGGACTAATCTTGGGTAGCAGCCTATTCTAACTTCATTACTATTTCTCAAAGACTCCTATTCTAAAATCTACAAAGCAATAAAGATAGAAATACTGTTACTGTTGGAATGATCTTCATTTTACTCAGCAATGTTTCTCCTGCTCTTCTGTAGCACCCTCACACCCCGCACTGGCCAATGCAGACGCTCTTCCTGCCGACCAGCTAACGGCATAGGTGAGGCCAGTCGACGTCATCAACCCTCGCACACGGCCTCCATCTGTTAGTTCTCACTGGTCACCCCAGGCTCCCTGATTATTTTAGGTAATTTCCCCTTTCTTTGGAGATTTAAATATCTCCCTGTGAGTGACTGGGAAAAAAACCAAAGCAAAAAAATCTGTAGGAAAAGAAAGACTTAGTTTCTGAAAGATGGTGACCTGTCAGAATATTTTCTATTAAAATAATTGCACTCCACTAAACGCTACTGTGCTAGCTACTCCCCCCACACTAGGAACCTCCATGGCTGAAACCCGGTCTACAGAGAGCAGCATGCGGAGGACCAAGGACGGAGGCTCTCTCAAGGCCCTGAGCACACCATGAGGTGCCTGCACCATCCTCGCCAGGACCCTCACACCCCATAAGGGGCACCGCGGAGAAACGAGGACTAGAGACCACGAGGTCCCTGCACCGTCCTCACCTGGGCCATCAAACACCATAAGGGGCACTGCGGAGAAACGAGGACTGGAGACCACGAGGTCCCTGCACCGTCCTCACCTGGGCCATCAAATGCCATAAGGGGCACCGCGGAGAAACAAGGACTAGAGACCACGTAGTGCCTGCACCGTCCTCACCAGGGCCATCAAACACCATAAGGGGCACTGCGGAGAAACGAGGACTGGAGACCACGAGGTCCCTGCACCGTCCTCACCTGGGCCATCAAATGCCATAAGGGGCACCGCGGAGAAACAAGGACTAGAGACCACGAGGTGCCTGCACCGTCCTCCTCAACAGAACCCTCACACCCCGTAAGGGACAGGGCAGGTCCAAACTTCTTGGAACCTCAGTTTCTTTCCTATAGAGTGAGAAGGCCCTTCTGCTAGATAGGATGAAGCCTGACAAAAACATATAATCTTATTAAAGATCAGAACAACAATCTAGTGACTATTGTAACTTCACCCAAATGCAGTATTTTTCAGTTCCCAAAATGGTTCTTTGTCTAAAAATAACCACTAATGTGGTTAGGATGAATGCAGTTGATAACAACAATGAAGGCAACAAGGGCACGGACCCACCTTGCCTGGCTGGTGCTGGTGCTTTTCACAGATTCACTCACACCTGCTATTTACAGAGGGAGGTTTTACGTGGCCACAGGTTCCATTACCTCTCTCCACTGTGCTCTGCCTCAGTAACCAACACCAGGCTACAAAAAACTCACTCACACATATCCACGTGGGATTCTTTCTTTGCCAAAATTCCGTGCTATAAAGAACTGTTTAGACTGACGTTCTGATCTACGCTCAGGACCAGCACGTCCTCTGCTCCTCGGCACTGAGCGTGCTGGCTGCTCGTGTATAAGCAACAACCACACCTCTCAGTTTCTCAAACACAGTCTCAGCTAAACAAGTTACTGTCAAGCAGCCGGCGGCCAGCAGGGTCAGGAGCCACCTTCACTAAGCTGACAGCACATGGGCGGATGCTGGAGCTCAGTACACTCAGGCTGCTGCCGCTGTCTGCTCTCTGCAAACTCCGGTTTAGCTGTTTTCAAAGATACTTCCCGTTATTCCTGAAACACAAGTATTTTTATAAGCCCTGTGAAAGCATCAAGATGAAGGAACAATAACCAGGCAGGCACCCCCCAGTCCCAAAACCATCCTGGGCGGGAAACTAATTCACAACGCCCGCGGGGCGAACACAGCGACCAGACCGAGCCTCAAGAGAGCCACGCTGTCCTCCCCCCAATTCCACACCTCATCAGCAATGTCCTCAACGCCACCCTCGGAAGCCTGATTTCCCAAGACTTTCTCCAAAGGCCCTGACCAAGCAGCCACCAGGGCACACAGGCACCCAGTAAGCCCCTGAGGGACCAAAACTGTGTGGCCACATCAAGGGCTTCACCCAAGCCAGAATTCCAACGTCAGATCGCCTGCGCATTCCTCAGGCAGCCACCCCGAAACCCCGATTCTGACACCTGCGTTTCTGACCCGTCAGCTGGGCAGGACCTGCTCTCTCTCACCAGGAGCCACGGGGTCCATCAGCGCCAGGGGGGTCCGTGTTAAAAGTGGGAGACTCTTTTCAGCACAAGTCCAGGAGCAGATTCCGGACCTCCCCGGCCCTCATTCACAGATGAGCTGAAGCCAGGGTCGGAGCCTCCTCAAAAGCAGTTGTGGATTCTGCCGTGCTGGTCTGTACAAGTGCATGTTATTTGCATAACCTGAAAGGGGTGCTCTAAGGATCAATACACAATAATCAGTCTACAAACATTTAAAGCAAACTTCAACCAAATGCTTGCTCTCCCAGATAAAGATCTCAGGAACCTGCAACTTCAAGAAAACTTTTAGAGGTGGTCAAGATAAGTCAATTCTAAAACAGCCCCTGTGCGATTCTGGGAACTTGCTCAGTTAAAGTCAAACACCTGGGCTGGCGAGCAGAGTCACACACGGTTTAAGGCAGTTCTCTTCCCTGACGTCCTCACCTTCCAGCCTCCAACCGGTGTGACATCACAGAAGAGAATCGTGGAGCTGCTGCTGGACGTGGCCACACCAGCAATCAGAGAAAAAAAGAAAAACACGGGAAAAACCTTTCAAGTGAAAGTACTGTGACACAGGCTCTCTGGAGGAAGGGAGGTGCTTTTCACCAGCCAACGTCCCAGAGGCATCGCAGGGACGAGAACTAAACTCATGCCCATCACCTTCCAACATCAGGATGGAATTACGCCCAATATTCTCCACATCATCAAAAAGCGGCACAATCTGTTACGGGAAGACTTCCAGATATCATCAGTCCCTCAGTCTGCACGGGGGGCGGGCTCCAGGACTCCTTCAGATTCTGCAGATACTCAGGTCCTGCAGTCAGCCTGGAGAACCCACAGATCCAGAAAGTCAGCCCTCTGTATAAACAGGCTGGGCTCCACACCCAGCAAACAGTGTCAGGCAAGGAACCCACAGATGCGGAGAGCAGACAATTTACTGAAAAACATCTACATAAAGGTGGCCCTCGCAGCCCAAACCAAGTTGTTCGAAGGCCAGCTGCAAACTGTACAGAGCTGCTGAGTTGGAACTCATGACCTGGAGAGACGCGTCACTGTTGGGCTTCAAGCAAAAGCTGCGGAGATTTCTACCTGCAGCTCTCTACAGAGACGTCGGCAAAGCCACAAGTCTACACTGCAGGGCGCTACTCCCATCACAGGCGTGCTGCCAGAGAAACGCGCTGGTAACCCCCACTCTGTTCACAAAATCTGTCAACAAGTGACTTAACCTAGTAATTTTCAACTGTGTTCCACCAAGGTGCAGCAGGCATTTCGGGGAGACCAACACATACCGGCTCCCAACGGCAGCCCGCCAAGCCAGGGCAGCGTCCTCGGGACCGAACGGAGCCGTTGTCGGCAGCATGGACTCCTGCTGCAAATGCACCTCCCGCATTCAGCTAGCTAACAACCGCGAGGCAGGAACCTGATTCCAAACAGACGACCAGAACTGCCAGGGCACACGCACACAGGGCTTCAGACTAAAGCCTTTCCAGCCGCTCCTTCCTGGATCTATGGCACCCGTGCCCACTGCAAGGGCAGGAACACCTCCAGAAATGCTGACGTCACACCACCACACTCCCCAGAAAGCTCACAAAACCCCTGTCCACAAACCCACAGGAGTACACGGAAATGGGAAAGGAGGCACCTTGAATTCCAGGTAACACCGCCTGTGGCTTTCTCTAAGGCAGGGATTCACCTGCCACCAGCGGACTGGAGGCAGACAGACGAGCCTCCTGGAACTAGAGGAAGACCTGGTGCCACACAGACGCTCCGAGGAGAAATAACATCACGTCAGTGTCTCAAAGGGCCCTGTGACGAACCACTGCTGCGAGGTACCCCAAGATCTCAAACAGCACCTCCCTGTAAAACAGTACTGACTGCTGGGAACCCGTCATCAAACTAATTAGCCGGCTGATTGATGCACTGGGTTGGTTTTATTCACTAGACTGACTGAACATGGAGTTTCAATACTACCTAGTCACATAACCAAGTTATTCACCTGTCTAGGTCAAAGTGGCCCTTTCTGTACAATCAGAGGAACAGAACGAAACATCAGTACGGCTCTTCGATCCTGGGGTTTTCTGCCCAGGGAATACACCAGCACTGGGGTCTGCCTCCACGATCCTCGTAGGTATGACCAGTGCCCACTGAGGAAGCTGTGCAGGCATTTCCTGGGAGGCACGGCCCTCAACCTCCCAGCCCCACCCACCAGCACGCAGGGGACAGGAGTGGGTGACCGTGCAGAGGGTCAAGGACCCAGGCTCTGTCTCCAAACGAAGCGGAGCCAGGACGTTTTGGGGCTGTGATGGGAAGGCTCCTGTCCCAATCCTTACTCCTGCGGAACCAGGTGCAGAGCAGATTCTCAACCAACACAGGGTCAGGGCAAGCCACAGGGACGAGGAACGGCGGCTGCCGAGGAGGGAGAGACTGGCATTCCCCGAAGGAGCGGCATCATTCCCAGACGGAGCTCACGGCCCGGCCCACTGCAGGCTGGAGTGCCCACCTCTCCCTGGAGTTTCTGTTCTGACAATCAAAACCACCACAGCCAGGCGCACACGCGTGGCCACATGCCTGTTCATCCCAAAACACAAGGGTAGATTCAGACACGGCTGGACGCTTCGGTGTTACGGACACACATCCCAGAAGGGGTTCTGGGGTCAGAGCACAGTTACGGACAGCTGCGGAGTCTGTCACACGCCCACATCACCTGCAACAATGCCCACTGTGGTCAACCACGGGGCCACTGCCTTCGCTGCAGGCCTGGGTTCCGCCCGTTCCTTAGCCACGAAACAGAGCTGCACCAGGTTTTACAACTGCGTTTCACAAAGTTTACAAAAATTTAAAGATGTGCACACGCCCATCAATAACAGGTCTGGAGCCTGCCTGATGACTCTTGTGCTCACAGCCACCCATGAGTTTTCCCAAGTCACAAAGGTGGAGCTAAAGGAAGGGGCGGGGACTATCACTGCAGAAGGAAAAAACAAACACCATCGCTTTCCCAAACAGTAACTTCGTGTCGCTACGCAGGACCCTTTCATCTCAAAATGCTCCCCGTTGGTAAAACCACAGATGGTGACTATCCAGTTTTAGGGGAGAAGCGCAGGGTCCGCGTCCCGCTTTATCGCCCCGTCCCCTGGGCGCCCCTGCCCACGCGGCCGCAGCAGCCCGGGCGGTCCCCCAGGACCCCTCCCCGGAGCCGCCCGCCCTCGGCCCCGCCCGGCCCGGCGCACTCACCCTGGAGCGACCATCTGGCCCGGTTGCGCGCACAGCTCCCGCACCACGCCCGCGCGCTCCGACCTCAGCCTGCGCTCCGACCGCGCAGGGCGCACGCAGCCCCCGGAGGCTGCACGAGACTGAGGGGCCCCAGCGGGCTGCGCGGAGGCGGCGGCCTCGAACACGGCCAGCACCGAGCCGATGCGCACCGCCGCGCCCGCCGCCACCCTCCACTCCAGCAGGCGCAGCGGCGCGGGCCCCGGGCAGCGCACCTCGGCCACGGTCGCCGTCGGGGCGCCCTCGGAGGAAAGGCGGCCCGCGGCCGGCACCTCCATCGCGGACAGAGGGCGGGCGGGCGGTCGCTACGGGGCCTGCGCTGCGCTCAGAGCGCAGCGCCCACCGCGGCGGCACGACCCAGGCGGCGACGCTTGTAGTTCCTCTCGGTACCGGCTTCCACCCGCCGCCTGGCCCGCGCCGACTTCCTGGAGGGCGCGTGACGTCACGGCAAGGGCGCCGCGTGCGTGCGTGCGTGCGTGCGCGTGTAAACACGAGCGCCGCGCGAGTGTCGGGGCCGGCTCCGTCTTGGGACCAAGCCTGCGTGCTGGCCGCAGAGTACTGCGTTTCTGCGCCCTACTTTTCCTCGGGGAGCCGGCACCGTGGAGCAGTGGTATGCAGCGCGGCCCGCTGTCTCCCAGTCCCACTGACAGTCCTGGCGCGCTCGGAACTTGGTATCCCGGCGTGCATCGCGGGCAGGGCATGGCGGGACTACCAGTCCCAGCGTTCAACGCAAGCCTGCGGCGTATTACCCCGTCACACGCCGAGACCCAGCCTCCTGAGACTACGAGTTCCGGCATGCACCGCGAGCCGCTCTCCTCGACTTCCGTCGCGCACTGCGAGTCCCAATGTCGCGAGACTACGGGTCCTGGCATGCCGTGCGCGCCGCAGGCAGAGAGACCTGAGGCTGCTGGCGTCCGGGGGGCCCCGCCTCGTATCTCGCTCCGTGTCCAGCGCGGACCCCACGCCGCGGGAGCTGCTGTGGTCTTCTCTTCCTCCGACCTCCCCTTCGACGCGGAAGCGCAGGGGCAGGTGCGCCGCCCTCGGCCCGCGCAGGCGGTGGGCCCGCTTGGGGCAAGGCGCCCGGAAGCGCCTGGTGGGCTCAGAAAATCCGAGCGACCGCAGCGGGAGGGCGGGCATGGCGCGTGGTCCCAGTGACCCGGGGCGAACCCTGATGAGCAGCAGCCGCAAGTGTCTTATTAAAGGAGAGCCAGTTTCTACGTTTGTCGGGAGTTTACGTGAATTAAGCTGGCGGGCGGGCGGCCCAGCCTGTAGTCGCAGCACTTTGGGAGGCTGACGCGGGCGGATCACCTGAGCCTGGGAGTTGGAGACCAGCCTGGGCAACATAGCAAGACCCCATCTCTAAAATAGATTCATTAATACTTAGCCGGGCGCCGTGGCTGAGGTCCCAGCTACTCGGCAGGCCGAGGCGGGAGGCTGGACTGAGCCAGGCCGCGCTGGACTGTTTTTACTTTTTCAGCCTTAATACGTGCCCGAGTTCTTTTTTTCCTGTGTGTCTTTGTCCTTACATATATAAATGTTATATACAATTGAGATTATCCTGTATTTGCCTTTTCCCCTCACTTTTATATGGTGGCTTTTCTCATGTTAGTAAACATTTTGGAAACTGTCGGCCTAAAAGGAAGCGGAGGCACAGTTTCTTTAAGTAGAGAGTTTATTTGGGCCACCCTTGAGGAGCAGAAATTCAGGGCACCCTGAGTGTGTACTCCGATTAGCAGTTAGCAGTGGGTTTTAAAGGCAAAAAAGGGAGCCAGGGAGTCGACTAAAAGGAACTTGTTTGTCAGGAATTTCACTGGTTTACAGAAATAATATTGATTAGTGACTGACTCTGTTGTTAAGCTGTTGAGTGTGGGTGTAGTGTCCAGTGTGGCGTTATTAGGTTAATTTATAGCTGTTTGTGGCGCTATTGCCACCGGGCGCAGTTTAAAGAGATGAACACAGGTCAAGGGGGTAGTCGGCCGTGATTGTCACCTCATTTGAATGTCTCTCTCGGCCTGATAATTAAAAGGACTCACATTCCTCAGATAAAAATTTTGTTTTCTGAAAACCGTTTACATTTGGTAATTAGAATGGCACAGAATGGGCACAGTGCCTTTTAGCCCTCACCATTACTTGCTGTTAGGAGTGCATTTTTTGTAGCTGTGGGGTTTTGCCTATCTCTGCTGCCTTCTCCAGCCCCTGCCCCCATGACTGCAAGGGAAAACGTGCGGCGCGTTTATGGGATTTTTTTTTTTTTTTTTTTTTTTTTGAGGCGGAGCCTCGCTCTGTCCCCCTGGCTGGAGTGCAGTGGTGTGCAGTGGCGCGATCTCGGCTCACTGCAAGCTCCGCCTCCCGGGATCATGCCATTCTCCTGCCTCAGCCTCCTGAGTAGCTGGGACTACAGGCGCCCGCCACCTCGCCCGGCTAATTTTTTAAAAAATAGAGATTGTGGGAAAATGGCACCAGCAGTCACAGTCTTTCAGTTTCTCACAGTCCCATAAAACAGAGCAACCAGGTAACAAAACTAAAAGCATGGGCAACATTTACAAGGCCACTGGATGATGAAGAATTCCCATGAACCCCTCGTTGACACTGTAAGGACAGACTACTCAAATGTAGCCGCCTCCTTATATACTCTTAAGTTTAGCCTGTAGGTTTCTCCATACATAGTGATCTGTAATCTAACTGGATGTGTGGACAGAGTATAACCTGCTCTTGAACCAGTCACAAGTGGTCAGCTCTTCAAACTCTGTTTCAATAGGCCACACGCAAGCTGTAGACTCCTGCTGTTTGCCTTCTGTGCCTCACTCCTTTTTCTGTCCGTAAGTCTTCGGCCACACAGCGGCACTGGAGTCTCTCTGAGCCTGTTGTGGTTTGAGGGGCTCCCTGATTCCTGAATCATTCTTTGCTCAGTTAAACTCTGTTAAATTTAATGTTTCTCAAGTTTTCCTTTGAACACTCCCAGCAGCGCAAGCCCTGGGTGATGTCAGCGCCTGTGAGAGAGAAAGTAGGGGTGAACAGGTTTGTCTCAAAGGATGTTGACATGTATCAGCATTCCCTATTTGAACCTGTTCCCACCGGCGGCGTGTGAACTTTGGTTTGAAAACATAATTCTGTAAAAGGGGAAGAACCATGTGTTATTTAGGGATTTGAAATGCAGACCTTGATGGAACTGACAGACTGATCTAGGTAGACAGATGTGGACATCCCTAGACGATTACAACTCCAACCTGGATAGATGCCCTGTGGTCTTCCAATTAGAGATGCTAGACAGCAAATGAAACTTACCTTGTCTTTAATTGGTGTGCTACCTTTGGTTAAAATCAGCTATCTTACAGGTATCATGAAATAAAACATTAGTATCAACAGATTGAAACAAATTTATTGGGAAGAAAGTGAGGCCACAGTCAGGAAAATTAGCATAAGCCACCACCTCGTAGTCAAGAATCTTAGAAACAGATGTGTTTCCCAGAATTCTGAATTGTTCTGATGTTAGGAAAGTGATGTGTGCATGTTCCATTTGGGGGCCTGGGGCAACACCCTCATCAAACTGATGCTCCTGCAGCAAAATACAAGCAGGGTGAAAAGGATCATGGGTAGTCTCATGCCAGTTCAGGTTAGACTTTCCTGCCAAATGAAGTACACAAAACTTTCCATGTTTAGAACTATGGATTTGGGCCAGACACTGTGGCTCATTCCTGTAATCCCAGCACTTTGAGAGGCCGAGACAGTGGATCGCTTGAGCCCAGGAGTTCAAGACCAACCTGGGCAACATAGCAAGACCTCATTTCTACAAAAAATTGGCTGAGTGTGGTGGTGTGCACCTGTCTGGAGTCCCAGCTGCTCAGGAGGCTGAGGTGGGAGGATCCATTGAGCCTAGGAGGTCAAGGCCGCAGTAAGCTGTGATTGTACCACTGTCCTCCAGCCTGAGCAAAAGAGCGAGATCCTGTCTTAAAAAAAAAAAAGATACTGGGGCCACAGATAAGAGGTATGGACTGTAATGCAGTCACCTTTACATAGTGGCCCGGGGGAAAGGAGGAATCTCACACCCCGGAATTGTAGGTTTATCGGTGTCTCGGTGGTTTCGGTGAAGCCTCTGGTCGCTTTTCCTCACTGACGTGTGTTTCCTCCAAACTCACCTGTTTTGTTTGATTGGCATACGAGCGTCCGTGCTATGAGGCCAGGACAGAAAGAGGTTAAGGGGAAGGACAGCAGTTGTTGAACCTCAAAGCTCACTAGGCACAGGTGAGAAAACATAATACTTCTGTCAACCTAAAGAACAAACAGAGAAAGCCTCTCTCAAAGAAAAAGATATTTTTTTCAAGCATAGAGCATTGCAATGGGAATATACATTCCACAGTAAAGGCTGCACATTCAGAGGGGGAAGGAATCACGTAATTGTTTTGAGATAATGGTCCTTGATACAGAGGTCGGTAACAAGGACGATCCAGTCTGGGGTTGAACAGGCAATTGCTGGGCAGGTGATCTTGCCAAAGCACCTTTTGTGTAAAGTTATGATAGCTTTAGTGCCAGATTTTGAGTTTTGTCATCGTTTTTGTTACCAGGTGTGCAAGCATGAGAACCCTCTCTTCATGGCCTTCCCTGACTGTATTTGTCAGGGGTGTTGTGTACAAGCATGTTGTGTACACCCTGTGGTTAGGTTTGGATGCCTCTCCGTGCTGAGATGGACCTGTCGTTGCTGGTGGTCTCACCCCACTTCGAGGGGAATGATTGCTGACTAGGATCCAGTGTCAAAACCCTTTTAGACACATTTGAGCAGCAAGGGAGGTTTGAAGGGAGTGGCTCCCTGGATAAGTCTACCTGGAGTGCATTGTTAAGTTCAATTTTGTCTTTTCCATGATCTTTTGCTATCATCTGAAAGTGCTGGGCCAGCATTATACTGTTAGGAGTTGTACTTCTGCAAATCAGTTAACAAGTAGCCAGGCGTGGTGGCTCATTCCTATAGTTCCAGCTACTTAGGAGGCTGAGGTGGGAAGATTGCTTGAGTCCAGGAGTTCAAGGTCAGCCTGGACAACATAGCAATACCCTATCTCAGAAACATGATCTTTATTCCTATGTATCCTGGATGGAAAAAAAGTTGACAAGGAACAGATACAAAGTTCAAAAAGGGGAAATAAAAAGTAAAATTAATAGTAATATGTCAATCCCCGTTTGCATCCATGAACCCGGCAGGCTTAAAGACAAGGGAATGAATCAGCGACCACAGGGAATTAGGTAAGACTTGAATGATGTGGCCTGTTTTCTTCTTTTGTGTATGTGGGTCTCAACTTTCCCCGAGGAATTGATCCAGGTACCACAATAAGAAATGCACAGGCATTTTCTTATTTAATCAATGAATACTAAAGTTGTTTTTTTTTTTTTTTTTCTAAATGGAGTTTCACTCTTGTTGCCCAGGCTGGAGTGCAGTGGTGCATCAGCTCACTGCAACCTCCACCTCCTGGGTTCAAGTGATTCTCCTGTCTCAGCCTCCTGAGTAGCTGGGATTACAGGCATGCACCACTACGTCTGGCTAATTTTTGGTATTTTTATTAGAGACGGGGTTGGCCAGGCTGGTCTCGAATTCCTGACCTCAGGTGATCCACCCGCCTCGGCCTCCCAAAGTGCTGGGATTACAGGCGTTACTAAAGGATTTTTAAAGGTTATGCTCTGTTAAGTTACCAACAGAAGCTACTGATTGTGAAATTTCAATTTCATCATTATCCTGTCAAGTGTAAAAGATAGACATTAAGAGGAGTTGAGGAGTTAGGGTCTCCTTGTGATACGGAGTCTTGTTCCAATGTCTAGGGAAAAACTGTTTATGTTTACAACATGAAAACATCAACTTTTCCTTCCAGTTTGCAGCTTGAATATCTCTGGTTGTGGCATCAAGCGGTTTGGTGAACCTTATGTGTGGACCATACATCAGGCCTGAGGCTTGTTTCTTAAAATGTGTTTAGGTTCATCTTACAGGGCTTTAGGAGAGAAGCAGTTTTAGTTTTTAGTTGGAGAATTATAGCCAAACATTGGAGAAA